TAGAGTTCGGCAAGGTTATGGGTTCAACCCCAACAGGGATCAGTGTGTACTGTGAGTCACTATTGAAAAGTGATATCCCAGGTATAAAACACAGTAAAGTACACACTAAAGGGTACAAAAATATGTGGTCCTGAAGCCACTCCTGCCTTGTCTTGGCTGTGTGCTTAGGGTCATTGTCCTGTTTGGAAGCTGAACCTTCTCCCCAGTCTGAGGTCCGGAGCAGGTTTTCATCAAGAATCTCTCTGTACTTTCTCTCAATCCTGACTAGTCTCCCAGTCCCTGCCGCTGAAAAACATCCCCACAGCATGATGCTGCCACCACCATGCTTCACTAGTGGGGATGGTGCCAGGTTTCCTCAAGACGTGACACTTGGCATTCAGGCCAAAGAGTTCCAGGCCAGAGAATCTTGTTTCTCATGGTCGGAGAGTCCTTTACGTGCCTTTTAGCAAACTCCAAGTCGGCTGTCATGTGCCTTTTACTGAGGAGTGGCTTCCGTCTGGCCACTCTACCATAAAGGCCTGATTGGTGGAGTGCTGCAGAGATGGTTGTCCTTCTGGAAGGTTCTCCCATCTCCACAGAGGAACTCTGGAGCTCTGTCAGAGTGACCATCGGGTTCTTGGTCACCTCCCTGACCAAGGCCCTTCTCCCCCGATTGCTCAGTTTATCCGGGGGGACAGCTCTAGGAAGAGTCTTGGTGGTTCCAAACTTCTTCCATTTTAAGAATGATGGAGGCCACTGTTCTTGGGGACCTTCAATGCTGCAGAAATGTTTTGGTACCCTTCCCCAGATCTGTGACTCGTCAAAATCCTGTCTCTGAGATCTACGGACAATTCCTTCGACCTCATGGCTTGGTTTTTGCTCTGACATGCACTGTCAACTGTGGGACCTTAAATGGACAGGTGTGTGCCTTTCCAAATCATGTCCAATCAATTGAATTTACCACAGGTGGACTCCAATCAAGTTGTAGAAACATCTCAAGGATGATCAATGGAAACAGGATGCACCTGAACTCAATATCGAGTCTCATAGCAAAGGGTCTAAATACTTATGTAAATAAGGTATAGGTTTTTTAATTGCAATAAATTTGCTAAAATTCCCCAAAAACATTTTTCGCTTTGTCATTATAGGGTATTGTGTGTAGATTGATGAGGAAAAACATTTAAATAAATTTTCGAATAAGGCTGTAACCAAACAAAATGTTGAAAAAGGTCAAGGGGTCTGAATACTTTCCGAATGCACTGAATATAATTAATTAGGGGTGTACATTTACATTTACATTTTAGTCATTTAGCAGACGCTCTTATCCAGAGCGACTTACAGGACCACGATTCGTGGTTGTCGATACGATTCAAGGACGATATTGGTTCATTTAGAACGATACGATCCGAAACGATTCAGTGACTTGAAATCGATTCAGTAACCTTTTAGCCAAAAATTCAACCAGTGTGACTGAAATAAATACCTGGATACTGGACAGTGCAGGTGAAGTTTCCTAGATTCCTGTTTCTTGTAAGGACCGCAATGGTGGCTTGATCAATCAATCAATTTTATTTTATATAGCCCTTCTTACATCAGCTAATATCTCGAAGTGCTGTACAGAAACCCAGCCTAAAACCCCCAAACAGCTAGTAATGCAGGTGTAGAAGCACGGTGGCTAGGAAAAACTCCCTAGAAAGGCGAAAACCTAGGAAGAAACCTAGAGAGGAACCAGGCTATGAGGGGTGGCCAGTCCTCTTCTGGCTGTGCCGGGTGGAGATTATAACAGAACCATGCCAAGATGTTCAAAAATGTTCATAAGTGACAAGCATGGTCAAATAATAATCAGGAATAAATCTCAGTTGGCTTTTCATAGCCGATCATTAAGAGTTGAAAACAGCAGGTCTGGGACAGGTAGGGGTTCCATAACCGCAGGCAGAACAGTTTAAACTGGAATAGCAGCAAGGCCAGGCAGACTGGGGACAGCAAGGAGTCACCACGGCCGGTAGTCCCGACGTATGGTCCTAGGGCTCAGGTCTCTCAGTTGGCTTTTCATAGCCGATCATTAAGAGTTGAAAACAGCAGGTCTGGGACAGGTAGGGGTTTCGTAGCCGCAGGCAGAACAGTTGAAACTGGAATAGCAGCAAGGCCAGGCGGACTGGGGACAGCAAGGTGTCATCATGCCCGGTAGTCCTGACGTATGGTCCTAGGGCTCAGGTTCTCAGAGAGAAAGAGAGAACGAGAGAATTAGAGAGAGCATACTTAAATTCACACAGGACACTGGATAAGACAGGAGAAGTACTCCAGGTATAACCAACTAACCCCAGCCCCCCGACACATAAACTACTGCAGCATAAATACTGGAGGCTGAGACAGGAGCGGTCCGGAGACACTGTGGCCCCATCCGAAGAAACCCCCGGACAGGGCCAAACAGGAAGGATATAACCCCACCCACTCCGCCAAAGCACAGCCCCCGCACCACTAGAGGGATATCCCCAACCACCAACTTACAATCCTGAGACAAGGCCGAGTATAGCCCACAGAGGTCTCCACCACAGCACAAACCAAGGGGGGGGGCGCCAACCCAGACAGGAAGATCACGTCAGTAACTCAACCCACTCAAGTGACGCACCCCTCCCAGGGACGGCATGAAAGAGCACCAGCAAGCCAGTGACTCAGCCCCTGCAACAGGGTTAGAGGCAGAGAACCCCAGTGGAGAGGGGAACCGGCCTGGCAGAGACAGCAAGGGCTGTTCGTTGCTCCAGCCTTTCCGTTCACCTTCACACTCCTGGGCCAGACTACACTCAATCATATGACCTACTGAAGAGATAAGTCTTCAGTAAAGACTTAAAGGTTGAGACCGAGTCTGCGTCTCTCACATGGGTAGGCAGACTGTTCCATAAAAATGGAGATCTATAGGAGAAAGCCCTGCCTCCCGCTGTTTGCTTAGAAATTCAATTGATAATTTCTCGCTCGTCGGCTTCTCCTCTGTCGTCCGCCATGCTATGTTTTGTTGTCTTTGCGCCTTTGCGCTGCTGCTGGCGCGGGGCAATGACGTCACGAATAGGCAGACTGAATCGAGTAATGTTTAAAGCCTTTATCATTAAAAGTGCTAAGAAAAAACATCCATATAAAGTCTGACGTGCTTAAATCCAATGGGTTATTTCCTAGTATCGATACAATCGATTTATTACATTTTAAAACGATGTTAGATTGATATATGTTGTCCAAAAGGCCAACTCGCCGAGCACAGATCGATGTAGTTGGATCATAGGAATATAAATAGATACATCGATGTAGTAGATGGATCGTTACACCCCTATAATTAATTATTATTCACTCAGAAATTTCTTGTTGTTTCTATTCCAAAGTAGGCCTACGTCATTCACCTTTTAAGACACCACTCGCCCTTTAAGAGCTCTGTTGCTGCACCTAATATGCTTGAGAGAGGTTGGAAACGCCAACTGTAACTGCATTTGTAAAGCGACGCCACTCGCGCAATTGAAAGAGTCGAGAAATAAACGTGGTAGCAATGAAAAAGCTGTGATCCCTTCTTTTTTTAAACAAAAGGCCCAAACTGCTTTCAAAATGTTTTCCCGCATTAAGAATCCCAATGCCCTCCAGCGGGTGGTGAAGGCAGCCCAGTATGTGCTGGGAACGCGGTTCCTTATATGAACTGTAGCTCAGTAAAATCTTTGAAATTGTTGCATGTCGCGTTTATATTTTTTTTGTTCATTGATGTAGCATACCTGGGGATGTTGTTCTTGGGGTCCTCGCTGTCGTTAGCCAGTCCTCCGAACAGGAAGCATTTGTTCCCTACCAGAGAGAAGCTGTGGCCCAGACGGGGGCAGGGAGGGGGGCCGTTCTTAGGAGACTTGGCCTTCAGACGCTTCCACTCCCAGCGGCTGGCCTGGGGACAGCCGGAGAAAATAACATCATGTAGATCATAACTCACTAACAAGCTTGGGTGTGGCCCTAAGGTCTCCATCTAGCCTATGCAGACACATCTGATGCACAACATAGAAATTACAAGGAAAATGTGTTTTGTTGGTTTAAAAATTGACAGAAAATAATATACAGAGTTGTTTGTGCAAACAGTTTAGTGTTAACACCCCAAAATCCCACTAAAACTATCAGAGCTTTATTCTGTGGGCTGAGCACTTACCTGCAGTTCATACAGATCATTGCTGTATTTACCATACTCCACCATCCCCCCGAACACCAGCAGCCTGGTGCCATCACACACAAACCCATACGCAGCACAGCCAGGCGGGATATCACCACGGACAGCAGGAATGAACCACTGGTTGGTCGCTGAAACACAATTAACTCTTAGATTAATGACCACTCCCTGCTAGGTACAAACGTTAAGGTAGTAATAACCTGTTTAACTAAAAAAAAAAACTGTCAAATCCGCAGTCTGAGAATTCTAGTGTTCTCAATTAATAATATAGACTACAAGATATGCCAATATGGAAAGTCAAAAACCTGATGCTGCACCACTGACAGACCATAGAAATAAAGTGCTCTTGTGCGTGAATGGAATGTTTTATGTGTTTATCATCGCATTGTTGCCATTTCTGTTGGCGGCCCACTCTTTGATATGCCCATTTTACAGTGCGGCTTTTCTCACAAAGGTATGCTTATAAAAAATAGCACAACATGGATTAATCATGGATTAGTCTTCAAAAAAGACAGACTCGAGTAACTCAGTTGGTAGAGCGTGGCGCATGCAACGCCAGGGTTGTGGGTTCGATTCCCGGGACCACCCATACACAAAAATGTATGCACGCATGACTAAGTCGCTCTGGATAAGAGCGTCTGCTAAATGACTCAAATGTAAACGTAATAATGATTGATCTTTGTTGATATTATGACGTCGCTGTTTTCTATTAACCCGCCATTTTCCTCTGGATTTTCTCTCCAATCAGCACCCTAGGCGAGCCATTACCCACAGAGTTAACTACTGACCCCATTACATTTCACCGCACGTCAACACTGGCGCTTCCTTACCATGCGAAATATAACCAATACAGACGTCACATTTCAACCATTTACCCACTACCAACCACAGAGGTGCATTGCTAATTTACTGTGTTGAACGACAATGCATAAACGGATTAAGTACTTGGTTAATATAATATGTATAGGTAGTTAGTTAGCCAACCATACATTATATTTCCATGTATCCAACATTGCTAGTTAACTACAGTCCAAAAACCGACTAGCACAATTTAGCGGAAGCGCTACGCTAGTTGGTATCCAATTGCTAAACATGTTAACGTTAAGTTAGCTAAGATTTAACAATATATGTACTACATTTATGCATGAAGCACTGGACGTTAAACCTTACCTGTGTTATAAACATGCAACTCATCCACAATTCCTTCATTGCCCCCCCCGAAAACGACCATTAATTCTTTGATTGCAACCGCACGGTGCCCGTGTCGGGGCCGAGGGACAGGACCGGACCAACCCAAAACCCGCTTCCACCGTGGCTGCAGGACTGAGCAAGATGCCATGGTGCTGGGAGATGAAGTTCCTCTTGAGGGAAAAAAATAAATCAAAATTGAAAAGCTTTTCAATATTACTTGATACTAAATAGCTCAAATACAACAATGCTAAGTTAACTAGCTCACTAGTTAGCTCCTGTCAGGAATAGCCAGCTAGCTGGCTAACGCTAAGCTAACAGGATTAACAACCGCGTCCTGCTAAAATACTGCACACACAAAATAAAATATAGAATCAAGATGTGCATGTCTTGATCCCAGGTCTAGTCCAATTGTAGATAGCTGTATATAGAATATGTCCAGGCGGCTGTGGTTCTACTTTAATAGTTAACGGTAGCAAGCAATCTTATTTAGCCAAGAAGAAGCAACATAAAAATCTATGGGAGCCGCCATTTTTACCTAGCTAGACGCTTTGCAGCAAATATGAAAAACGCCGGCAGGTCAAAACAACGTAGATGCGGAACACCATGAACGCACAGCCATCAAAATTGTGGAACTCGCAGTCGACTTTTGTGCATCGCTTCAACATTGACGCAATAATTTTCTGGGTTGTGGTTGTAGTTACACAGAAGCAAGAATGGGCTAATTCAACGGGTGCCGCCATCTTGGCGCTAACAAACTAAACAAACCATCCAAAAAAAAACAAAATGGCCGAGCCAAATTAGGCGCTGAACCCAGCTTGTTAACTACGGCTGCGTGTTTTTGTTAGCTTAGCTCGTTCCAGATACCCCATGTTTAGCATCATTTGTGTAGCGAATATAACTTGCAATCCAAATGTATGTTTGTGGACATTATTGTCCACGGGAAAGGGGTAGCCCGTGATCAATTGGGTCGCTGTGTCACAGCTGTTTATTGTCATGCTTCATCGTGAGCAGAAATGCATATCCAACGTTATTCAGCAAACTTTACAGATGTAAATATTGAGCAGATATGCATATTTAGTAGTAACTTGTTTCCTTCAGTACCACTCCAATTGTCATCTATAATAATTGTTGCTAAAGTTGCAGCCAGGCAATGTTCATTGGTGTTCTGTTTTGTTGCACTGTGTTGGTACCTGACAAAAAAAATGTCATGTTTTCTGTTCTGGGTGTTGCCATTTCTACACAAATAACTAGCTGTTGTCAAAAAAGCGCTAACTCCGCTAACACTAGTGTAGCATCTTTGATATTGCGCTAGCTAGCAAATGCTGCAAATCAACATTCACAATCACATTACTGCCATATTATACATGGCATTTCAATACAACAGCCCAGATAACATATAGCTATTTAGCTAACAAGAGCTAGCTATTTTGTTAATCCAGTTTAGAAGCTACAGCTAACATTAGCTTGCTAACGTTAATATCCTTCTTGACCAAGTACAGCTAGTTATGAAATAACGAGCAATCTTAGTAAATCCTAACATGTTAGAATAATTTGGGGAAATTAAGTTTAACTTCTTTATTAACGTCTGTTACATTGAAGCATTAACAGTTATAGTAAATTACTTTTCTTATTAGCCTTGCTAGCAAGTTAGCCAACTTCCCTCAAGAAAAATGGCGGAGATACCGTCACAATAAAACGCACACAAAAAAAAAAGTCGCATTATCATTACCACATTATACTTACACGTTAATTGTAACTAATCAAACGTTTCGACAGAGGGACTCAATTTAAAAAAAAAAATGGAACCCAGATAATATCATTTAAAATTTAGAAGAAGCTTGTACTGTCTTTGGCTACTTCTCACGCCGCCCAGGAAGCCGCCATTTTCTCATCCGTCTCAAACAAACACCACTATCCCTGAACCCATAGTGGAGATGGCGAGCACAGTCGCTTCTGACTATCACCACGCTAACCTCTTAATGAATCATTCTAAAAACGTTGCTCATTCAAGTTTAAGACCACTGAACCTGGAAAAACGAATGACAGACACTGGCCTCACTCTGGCAAATGTCTGCATGCCAGTCTAAATGAAGTAGTCCATAGCCTTATAGTGTGTATACACTGAGCAGTATAATACGAGGCTGGTGGCAGCACTTGTGATGTGTGTAGTGTGTGTGTATATATGTCTGTGGAGGTGTATGGGTGAGTGCATGTGTGCTAAGGTGCAGAGACTCAGAGCAGGTGGTTAGTCTGAAGCCTTATCTCCCTCACTATCTTTAAGCGTCAGTTGTCAGAGCAGCTTACCGATCACTGCACCTGTACACAGCCCATCTGAAATTAGCCCACCCAACTACCTCATCCCCATATTGTTATTTACATTATTAATTTTTCTCATTTGCACCCCAGTATCTCTATTTGCACATCATCTTTTGCACATCTATCACGCCAGTGTTAATACTAAATTGTAATTATTTTGCACTATGGCCTATTTACTGCCTTACCTCAATAATTTACTACATTTGCACACACTGTATATAGATTTTCTATTGTGTTATTGACTGTACGTTTTGTTTACCCCATATGTAACTCTGTGTTGTTTTTAATCGCACTGCTTTGCTTTATCTTGGCCAGGTCGCAGTTGTAAATGAGAACTTGTTCTCAACTGGCTTACCTGGTTAAATAAAGGTGAAATAAATAAAAGTCCTGTTCAAGTTTATTTAATGAAAACCTTGACATACATTGTATAAATACAAATAATACAGTTGTCTGAATTATCTAAAATATACATTGTACAAATTATAAAACAGAACTAGTGATGTGTGAAAACTTGCAAGAAATGACTGGATTTGGGGTTGATTACATTTCACCGATACCAAACCGCATGCTTCAGTTTTCGAAATTAAAATGGAACATACTCCAACCCAGTTTATTTTTTGTAACTCAACATTTTGATTTGCTCTTCCCGAACTGACTTGCATAACAGCCAATATTGAATGTTGGCCAATGTATGACACACAGATGGCACCCACATGGCTTTGTTTGTCTATGTATTGCAGTGTGTAACCGTAGGCTAGGTTGTTAGTTGGGAAAGTTGGTGTGTCTGCGTGTGCAGTCCTGATTCTCACTGGCCTCCCCTGATAGGTACTCAAGCTCATCACTCTCTTCTGGTCCTCGGCATTGTGGGTTCATCTCAGCATCTGAAAGATCAATATATATATATATTAAATAAAATAATAAATAATATTAAAGATATTTTATTGTCACATACACCGGATAGAAAAACAACAGCTATTGCGCATACTGACAATAATGTATAGTTTGACTTGTAGTCAAATAAAGTACTTGCATCATTACAAAACACCGTTAGGGAGTTGAATGTGGGGAAAGGTCAGATCATGGAATGAAAGAGCAGCTTACAAAGAGCCGAGGAAAAAAGCTCGCCGGTCTGTATTCTGCCGTCGTCATAGAGCGCCATCTTGTGGAGGAAACGCTCTTTGCATGCATTAACAACTACTCCATGGCAGGGCAAGCCTGGCAGAGAGAGAGACGTGTGTTTCCTGACAGGTAATACGTTAAATGGACAGTGTTGGGTAAGAGCAGAGGTCCACAACTCCAGGCCGTGAGGGATGCAGTCAGTGTTGTTTTTAGTTGCTGCCATTTAACCGGTACCCCATGTATATAGCCTCGCTATTGTTATTTTTACTGCTGCTCTTTAATTATTTGTAACTTTTATTTCGTATTATTTGATCTTGTATTTTTTTGTGCATTCTTTCTTAAAACTGCATTGTTGGTTAAGGGCTTGTAAGTAAGAATTTCACTGTAAGGTCTACACCTGTTGTATTCAGCGCATGTGACAAATAACATTTGATTTGAAGTCAGTGACTAGTTTAGACCTGGGAAACCAGGCATGTGTTACTTCAGAAGGGCACATCGTTTTGCAAAAGAAAACAAGATGTGAATGGACTAGTCTAGGTAGTCTCTCCCTGTTTCACTCCATTTTCTTCAATTTTGTGCCTAATAACCAATTACAAATACAATTACACCTTACCGTTACTGAGTAGCTTTCTGAGCACTTTTAGTATTTTTCAAACTGAGTAATTTTACTTGAGTAAAATGTCATTAAAGTAACAGTACTGCTACTTGAGTAAAATGTCATTAAAGTAACAGTACTGCTACTTGAGTAAAATGTCATTAAACAGTACTGCTACTTGAGTAAAATGTCATTAAACAGTACTGCTACTTGAGTAAAATGTCATTAAAGTAACAGTACTGCTACTTGAATAAAATGTCATTAAAGTAACAGTACTGCTACTTGAGTAGGATATTTGACTACACTTTCTCTCCCTGCTATTTGATTTGATTTGATTGGATGCTAATGAACATGACCCAGAGGTGTGTTTCTACGGGCACTGATGGAGTGAAACTAAAATCCCCATGGCTGCAGCCCTCATGGAATTGAGCTGTACACCCTGACCCTGGACTCTGAGACGACTAATCCTCTTACCTGACGCTGAGCACGGTGAACTGGAGCGTAACCGTCCGACTGGTGAAAACCAACCACAACTGTCCCCCTGCACTGTCCCAGAGGCCCCACCACACGGCAAGGAGGTCTGGGGGTCTGATCTGGTGTCACTATGGGGGAGCTGGGAGGGAGGAGCACAGTACTGGGAGTAACCTTGGCTCTCATCCGATTCACATGGACCAAGGAAGGAGGAGGGGTGAGGCAGGGTGGAGGAGGGGTGAGGCAGGGTGGAGGAGGGGTGAGGGGGGCAGTGGTACGTGTCTTCCAGTGGACCCATCTTTGACAGAACGTCTGTTAGGCAGTCTATACACGAGTCTATGGCTGATTGAGGAGGTTTGGGGAAGGGCTGGTGAGAAGGAGAGGAGGAGGATACGTTGAGAGTGGATGAGGCTCTGTCTGAGGCCTTCAGACGGGTGTGGATGTCTAGAAGCACCTGGAACACCTAGGAGTCATGGCACAATGGGACATGTCACAACACAGTTAAGGTCACAATTAGGGTTGGGGTCAAGTCCATTTCAATTCAGGAATTACACAGAAATTCCAATTCTCTTCAATGCTTTTCAATAACGGAATTGGAATTTGGTTTACTTTCTGAATTGACTGGAATTTAAATGTAATAGACCCTGGTCACAATACGTTCCACACTTGTTGGAATCACACGTTGACGAGTGCTACCTCAGTCATGGGGGGCCTTCTCTTCCGCTTGGCCTCCAGACAGCGACAGGCCAGAGCAGCCAGGTCCAGGGAGCCGTGTGGGGCCAGAGGAGGGGAGCCTGCCGTCCCTGTCGCCAGCAGTCTGGGGTCCAGGTGCTTCTGCCAGATGTGTGTAGCAGCTGGGTGAATACTAGGCTGTTCCTCGGTTACTCTCTCTGAACCCCTCTTTGACCTCCCTCTGGCCTGATGACCTCTGTCGTCTTCAACCTCCGTCACCAGGTCTTTCTGAAGTGGAAAATTATACAAGATGTTAGGTTTTGAAGTACCAGACATTACAGGTGCAGAACATCTGATGAGCGTGTCAGTGTGACTAGTGTCAGTGTGGCTAGTGTCAGTGTGGCTAGTGACTAGTGTCAGTGTGGCTAGTGTCAGTGTGGCTAGTGTCAGTGTGGCTAGTGTCATTGTCAGTGTGGCTAGTGTCAGTGTGGCTAGTGTCAGTGTGGCTAGTGTCAGTGTGGCTAGTGTCAGTGTGGCTAGTGTCAGTGTGGCTAGTAACAGTGTGGCTAGTAACAGTGTGGCTAGTAACAGTGTGGCTAGTGTCAGTGTGGCTAGTGTCAGTGTGGCTAGTGTCAGTGTGACTAGTGTCAGTGTCAGTGTGACTAGTGTCAGTGTGGCTAGTGTCAGTGTGGCTAGTGTCAGTGTGGCTAGTGTCAGTGTGACTAGTGTCAGTGTCAGTGTGGCTAGTGTCAGTGTCAGTGTGACTAGTGTCAGTGTGGCTAGTGTCAGTGTGACTAGTGTCAGTGTGGCTAGTGTCAGTGTGGCTAGTGTCAGTGTCAGTGTGGCTAGTGTCAGTGTCAGTGTGACTAGTGTCAGTGTGGCTAGCGTCAGTGTGGCTAGTGTCAGTGTGGCTAGTGTCAGTGTGGCTAGTGTCAGTGTGGCTAGTGTCATTGTCAGTGTGGCTAGTGTCAGTGTCAGTGTGGCTAGTGTCAGTGTGGATAGTGTCAGTGTCAGTGTGGCTAGTAACAGTGTGGCTAGTAACAGTGTGGCTAGTGTCAGTGTGGCTAGTAACAGTGTGGCTAGTGTCAGTGTGGCTAGTGTCAGTGTGGCTAGTGTCAGTGTGGCTAGCGTCAGTGTCAGTGTGACTAGTGTCAGTGTGGCTAGTGTCAGTGTGACTAGTGTCAGTGTGGCTAGTGTCAGTGTGGCTAGTGTCAGTGTCAGTGTGGCTAGTGTCAGTGTCAGTGTGACTAGTGTCAGTGTGGCTAGCGTCAGTGTGGCTAGTGTCAGTGTGGCTAGTGTCAGTGTGGCTAGTGTCAGTGTGGCTAGTGTCATTGTCAGTGTGGCTAGTGTCAGTGTCAGTGTGGCTAGTGTCAGTGTGGATAGTGTCAGTGTCAGTGTGGCTAGTAACAGTGTGGCTAGTAACAGTGTGGCTAGTGTCAGTGTGGCTAGTAACAGTGTGGCTAGTGTCAGTGTGGCTAGTGTCAGTGTGGCTAGTGTCAGTGTGGCTAGCGTCAGTGTCAGTGTGGCTAGTGTCATTGTCAGTGTGGCTAGCGTCAGTGTGGCTAGTGTCAGTGTGGCTAGTGTCAGTGTGGCTAGTGTCAGTGTGGCTAGTGTCAGTGTGGCTAGTGTCAGTGTGGCTAGTGTCAGTGTGGCTAGCGTCAGTGTGGCTAGCGTCAGTGTGGCTAGCGTCAGTGTGGCTAGTGTCAGTGTGGCTAGCGTCAGTGTCAGTGTGGCTAGTGTCATTGTCAGTGTGGCTAGCGTCAGTGTGGCTAGCGTCAGTGTGGCTAGCGTCAGTGTGGCTAGCGTCACATAATTTTTTTTTTTTTTGTGTATGGGTGGTCCCGGGGATCGAACCCACTACCTTGGCGTTACAAGCGCCATGCTCTACCAGCTGAGCTACAGAGGAGCTATATAGCCTCGCTATTGTTATTTTTACTGCTGCTCTTTAATTATTAGTAACTTTTATTTCGTATTATTTTATCTTGTATTTTTTTGTGTAGTCTTTCTTAAAACGGCATTGTTGGTTAAGGGCTTGTAAGTAAGAATTTCACTGTAAGGTCTACACCTGTTGTATTCGGCGCATGTGACAAATAACATTTGATTTGATTTAAGTCAGTGACTAGTTTAGACCTGGGAAACCAGGCATGTGTTACTTCAGAAGGGCACATCGTTTTGCAAAAGAAAACAAGATGTGAATGGACTAGTCTAGGTAGTCTCTCCCTGTTTCACTCCATTTTCTTCCATTTTGTGCCTAATAACCAATTACAAATACAATTACACCTTACCGTTACTGATTAGCTTTCTGAGCACTTTTAGTATTTTTCAAACTGAGTAATTTTACTTGAGTAAAATGTCATTAAAGTAACAGTACTGCTACTTGAGTAAAATGTCATTAAAGTAACAGTACTTCTACTTGAGTAAAATGTCATTAAAGTAACAGTACTGCTACTTGAGTAAAATGTCATTAAAGTAACAGTACTTCTACTTGAGTAAAATGTCATTAAAGTAACAGTACTGCTACTTGAGTAAAATGTCATTAAAGTAACAGTACTGCTACTTGAGTAAAATGGTGGCTAGCGTCAGTGTGGCTAGTGTCAGTGTGGCTAGTGTCAGTGTGGCTAGCCTCAGTGTGGCTAGTGTCAGTGTCAGTGTGGCTAGTGTCAGTGTGGCTAGCGTCAGTGTGGCTAGTGTCAGTGTCAGTGTGGCTAGTGTCAGTGTGGCTAGCGTCAGTGTGGCTAGCGTCAGTGTGGCTAGCGTCAGTGTGGCTAGTGTCAGTGTGGCTAGTGTCAGTGTGGCTAGCGTCAGTGTGGCTAGTGTCAGTGTCAGTGTGGCTAGTGTCAGTGTGGCTAGTGTCAGTGTGGCTAGTGTCAGTGTGGCTAGCGTCAGTGTGGCTAGCGTCAGTGTGGCTAGTGTCAGTGTCAGTGTGGCTAGTGTCAGTGTGGCTAGTGTCAGTGTGGCTAGCGTCAGTGTGGCTAGCGTCAGTGTGGCTAGTGTCAGTGTCAGTGTGGCTAGTGTCAGTGTCAGTGTGGCTAGTGTCAGTGTCAGTGTGGCTAGTGTCAGTGTGGCTAGCGTCAGTGTGGCTAGCGTCAGTGTGGCTAGCGTCAGTGTGGCTAGCGTCAGTGTGGCTATTGTCAGTGTCAGTGTGGCTAGTGTCAGTGTGGCTAGTGTCAGTGTGGCTAGTGTCAGTGGTGGGCTAGTGTCAGTGTGGCTAGCGTCAGTGTGGCTAGCGTCAGTGTGGCTAGTGTCAGTGTCATGTGGCTAGTGTCAGTGTGGCTAGCGTCAGTGTGGCTAGCGTCAGTGTGGCTAGCGTCAGTGTGGCTAGCGTCAGTGTGGCTAGCGTCAGTGTGGCTAGCGTCAGTGTGGCTAGTGTCAGTGTCAGTGTGGCTAGTGTCAGTGTCAGTGTGGCTAGCGTCAGTGTGGCTAGCGTCAGTGTGGCTAGCGTCAGTGTGGCTAGCGTCAGTGTGGCTAGTGTCAGTGTGGCTAGTGTCAGTGTGGCTAGTGTCAGTGTGGCTAGTGTCAGTGTGGCTAGTGTCAGTGTGGCTAGTGTCAGTGTGGCTAGTGTCAGTGTCAGTGTGGCTAGCGTCAGTGTGGCTAGCGTCAGTGTGGCTAGCGTCAGTGTCAGTGTGGCTAGTGTCAGTGTGGCTAGTGTCAGTGTGGCTAGCGTCAGTGTGGCTAGCGTCAGTGTGGCTAGCGTCAGTGTGGCTAGTGTCAGTGTCAGTGTGGCTAGTGTCCAGTGTCAGTGTGGCTAGTGTCAGTGTGGCTAGCGTCAGTGTGGCTAGCGTCAGTGTGGCTAGTGTCAGTGTGGCTAGTGTCAGTGTCAGTGTGGCTAGTGTCAGTGTGGCTAGTGTCAGTGTGGCTAGTGTCAGTGTGGCTAGTGTCAGTGTGGCTAGTGTCAGTGTCAGTGTGGCTAGTGTCAGTGTGGCTAACGTCAGTGTGGGTAGGCTGTGGCAGTGTGGCTGGTAGTGTCAGTGTGGCTAGGTCAGTGTGGCTAGCGTCAGTGTGGCTAGCGTCAGTGTGGCTAGGTCAGTGTGGCTAGTGTCAGTGTGGCTAGGTCAGTGTTCAGTGTGGCTAGTGTCAGTGTGGCTAGCGTCAGTGTGGTGGCTAGTGTCAGTGTCAGTGTGGCTAGTGTCAGTGTGGCTAGTGTCAGTGTGGCTAGTGTCAGTGTGGCTAGGGAACAGTGTGGTGTCTAGTGTCAGTGTGGCTAGTGTCAGTGTGGCATTAGGTTAGGTCAGTGTGGCGTTAGTGTCAGTGTGGCTAGTGTCAGTGTGGCTAGTGTCAGTGTGGCTAGTGTCAGTGTCAGTGTGGCTAGTGTCAGTGTGGCTAGTGTCAGTGTGGCTAGTGTCAGTGTGGCTAGTGTCAGTGTGGCTAGTGTCAGTGTGGCTAGTGTCAGTGTGGCTAGTGTCAGTGTCAGTGTGGCTAGTGTCAGTGTGGCTAGTGTCAGTGTGGCTAGTGTCAGTGTCAGTGTGGCTAGTGTCAGTGTGGCTAGTGTCAGTGTGGCTAGTGTCAGTGTGGCTAGTGTCAGTGTCAGTGTGGCTAGCGTCAGTGTGGCTAGTGTCAGTGTGGCTAGTGTCAGTGTGGCTAGTGTCAGTGTGGCTAGTGTCAGGTGGTGTGTCAGTGTGGCTAGTGTCAGTGTGCTAGTGGTGCTAGTGTCAGTGTGGCTAGTGTCAGTGGGCTATGTCAGTGTGGCTAGTGTCAGTGTGGCTAGTGTAGTGTGGTCAGTGTCAGTTGGCTAGTGGTCGTGTGCTGTGCAGTGGCTGGCTGTCAGTGTGGCTAGTGTCATGTGGCTAGGTCTGGTCAGTGTGTGGTAGTGTCAGTGGCTACGGTTATTATTTTTCTCTCTTACAGGACAGAACACTAGAAACCCCACACGACACCTTCCAGAGGCAGTTCGACTCTCTCAACTTCTACGCATCACAGCCATCCAACCACCAGCAGCCTGAGGAAGAGAAGATAAGATGATTGTGTAACATCTACCCAGTCATTGGAACAGTTGTCTTGGTGTATAGTAGTCTATATACTATACTACAGTAGTCTCCAGTAGTATAGTAGTACAGTAGTATAGTGTAGTACAGTAGTAGTATAGTACAGTAGTATAGTATAGTACTATACTACACTATTGTAGTACAGTAGTATATTAGTACAGTAGTATAGTATAATACAGTACAATAGTATAGTGTTGTACAGTAGTATATTATAGTAGTACAGTAGTATAGTACAGTAGTGTAGTATAGTACATTAGTTTAGTACAGTAGTATAGTATATAGTATAGTAGTACAGGAGTATACTATAGTAGTACAGTAGTATAGTATAACAGTAGTATAGTAGTATATTATAGCAGTACAGTAGTATAGTACAGTAGTATAGTATAGTAGTACAGTATAGTAGTATAGTAGTACAGTAGTATATTATAGTAGTATAGTATAGTAGTACAGTAGTATAGTATAGTAGTACAGTAGTATACTATAGTAGTACAGTAGTATAGTATAACAGTAGTATAGTATTATATTATAGTAGTACACAGTAGTACAGTAGTATATTATAGTAGTACAGTAGTATAGTATAACAGTAGTATAGTAGTATATTATAGTAGTACACAGTAGTACAGTAGTATAGTACAGTAGTATATTATAGTAGTACATTAGTATACTATAGTAGTACAGTAGTATAGTATAACAGTAGTATAGTAGTATATTATAGTAGTACACAGTAGTACAGTAGTATAGTACAGTAGTATATTATATTAGTACAGTAGTATAGTATAACAGTAGTATAGTAGTATATTATAGTAGTACACAGTAGTACAGTAGTATAGTACAGTAGTATATTATATTAGTACAGTAGTATAGTATAACAGTAGTATAGTAGTATATTATAGTAGTACACAGTAGTACAGTAGTATAGTACAGTAGTATACTATAGTAGTACAGTAGTATAGTATAACAGTAGTATAGTATTATATTATAGTAGTACACAGTAGTACAGTAGTATAGTACAGTAGTATAGTATAGTAGTATAGTGTGTGCTCTCCTCCTACCACTCCAAAGCTGAAGGTGTCGATGGCTACTCCCAACTCTCCTGTTTTGAGGTATTCGTCAGGTAAGTACGCCTGCGTTCCCCTCACCGTCCTGGTATAGGCTACCGTGGTGGTTCTACCAGCTGACCTGCTGCTGCTGGAGCAGAACCGGGCCAGGCCAAAGTCACCCAGCTTAGGCTCCAGGTGCTCGTCCAATAGGATGTTGGAGCTGGAGAAAGAAGACGACGGATGGTTTGAGTGGGATTTATCAACAGAAAAAAACAGCCTCCTCACTTAGGATCAATGCAAAACCTATTTATTGTGCCTAGTTTTCGTACAAAAGTCAGCATCAGCTGTATATCTGCCAGTTGTTCTTCTAGAGGCTAATTTCTCATTTCAAAGATGAGATGGAGGCTTAATATGGTCATCAAGTATCCTTGATCGTAAGAAATTAGTGTCGTTAAAAACACTATTCTTCAAATAAAGGAGTAATTGATCAGATTCAGTGAGTGAGCATCATACCTCTGGAAGATGGAGGGCTTAATATGGTCATCAAGCATCCTTGATAGTAAGAAATGATGGGGACAAAATAATGATTCAGTGAACAGAGCAGCCTACCTCTTGCCTGGTGGCTCAGCCTGAATTTAACAGAGCAGCCTACCTCTTGCCTGGTGACTCAGCCTGAATTTAACAGAGCAGCCTACCTCTTGCCTGGTGACTCAGCCTGAATTTAACAGAGCAGCCTACCTCTTGCCTGGTGACTCAGCCTGAATTAACAGAGCAGCCTACCTCTTGCCTGGTGACTCAGCCTGAATTTAACAGAGCAGCCTACCTCTTGCCTGGTGACTCAGCCTGAATTTAACAGAGCAGCCTACCTCTTGCCTGGTGACCTCAGCCTGAATTTAACAGAGCAGCCTACCTCTTGCCTGGTGACTCAGCCTGAATTTAACAGAGCAGCCTACCTCTTGCCTGGTGGCTCAGCCTGAATTTAATTCCACTCCTCTATCGATCGCTACATACATTCAGTCTGAAACTGCCATTCTAGAAGGGGAGAGGCTATACGGACACGCATGGGGCCCAAATTTATGACGAATTTTGTACGTTTCTTTTACAAAAATGTAGACGTTAATGCTATAGTTGTACATTTTGTAGTGGAAATCACTATAATGTGCTTTAGCTGTCACCCTTGCCTGATATTGGCTACTATCTAGCTACTACCCTCTCCTTACTGGCTACTATCTAGCTACTACCCTCTCCTTACTGTCCTGATATTGGCTACCATCTAGCTACACTTCTTATGCCTATATTGCTACATCTAGCTGAACTCTCTTACTGTCCTGATATTGGCTACTATCTAGCTACTACCCTCTCCTTACTGTCCTGATATTGGCTACTATCTAGCTACTACCCTTCCTTACTGTCCTGATATTGGCTACCATCTAGCTACTACCCTCTCCTTACTGGCCTGATATTGGCTATCTACTACCCTCTCCTTACTGTCCTGATATTGGCTACATAGCTACTACCCTCTCCTTACTGTCCTGATATTGGCTACATCTAGCTACTACCCTCTCCTTACTGTCCTGATATTGGCTACTATCTAGCTACTACCCTCTCCTTACTGTCCTGATATTGGCTACCATCTAGCTACTACCCTATCCTTACTGGCCTGATATTGGCTACCATCTAGCTACTACCCTCTCCTTACTGTCCTGATATTGGCTACCACTACTACACCCTCTCCTTACTGTCCTGATATTGGCTACTATCTAGCTACTACCCTCTCCTTACTGTCTGATATTGGCTACTATCTAGCTACTACCCTCTCCTTACTGTCCTGATATTGGCTACTATCTAGCTACTACCCTCTCCTTACTGTCCTGATATTGGCTACTATCTAGCTATACTCCTCTGCCTTACTGTCCTGATATTGGCTACTATCTAGCTACTACCCTCTCCTTACTGTCCTGATATTGGCTACTATCTAGCTACTACCCTCTCCTTACTGTCCTGATATTGGCTACTATCTAGCTACTACCCTTCCTTACTGTCCTGATATTGGCTACTATCTAGCTACTACCCTTCCTTACTGGCCTGATATTGGCTACTATCTAGCTACTACCCTCTCCTTACTGTCCTGATATTGGCTACATCTAGCTACTCCTCTCCTTACTGTCCTGATATTGGCTACCATCTAGCTACTACCTCTCCTTACTGTCCTGATATTGGCTACCATCTAGCTACTACCCTCTCCTTACTGTCCTGATATTGGCTACTATCTAGCTACTACCCTCTCCTTACTGTCCTGATATTGGCTACTATCTAGCTACTACCCTCTCCTTACTGTCCTGATATTGGCTACTATCTAGCTACTACCCTCTCCTTACTGTCCTGATATTGGCTACTATCTAGCTACTACCCTATCCTTACTGGCCTGATATTGGCTACTATCTAGCTACTACCCTCTCCTTACTGTCCTGATATTGGCTACTATCTAGCTACTACCCTCTCCTTACTGGCCTGATATGGCTACTATCTAGCTACTACCCTCTCCTTACTGTCCTGATATTGGCTACTATCTAGCTACTACCCTCTCCTTACTGGCCTGATATTGGCTACTATCTAGCTACTACCCTCTCCTTACTGTCCTGATATTGGCTACCATCTAGCTACTACCCTCTCCTTACTGGCCTGATATTGGCTACTATCTAGCTACTACCCTCTCCTTACTGTCCTGATATTGGCTACCATCTAGCTACTACCCTCTCCTTACTGTCCTGATATTGGCTACCATCTAGCTACTACCCTCTCCTTACTGGCCTGATATTGGCTACCATCTAGCTACTACCCTCTCCTTACTGTCCTGATATTGGCTACCATCTAGCTACTACCCTCTCCTTACTGTCCTGATATTGGCTACTATCTAGCTACTACCTCTCCTTACTGTCCTGATATTGGCTACTATCTAGCTACTACCCTCTCCTTACTGGCCTGATATTGGCTACCATCTAGCTACTACCCTCTCCTTACTGTCCTGATATTGGCTACTACCCTCTCCTTACTGGCCTGATATTGGCTACTATCTAGCTACTACCCTCTCCTTACTGTCCTGATATTGGCTACTATCTAGCTACTACCCTCTCCTTACTGTCCTGATATTGGCTACTATCTAGCTACTACCCTATCCTTACTGTCCTGATATTGGCTACTATCTAGCTACTACCCTCTCCTTACTGTCCTGATATTGGCTACTATCTAGCTACTACCCTCTCCTTACTGTCCTGATATTGGCTACTATCTAGCTACTACCCTCTCCTTACTGTCCTGATATTGGCTACTATCTAGCTACTACCCTCTCCTTACTGTCCTGATATTGGCTACTATCTAGCTACTACCCTCTCCTTACTGTCCTGATATTGGCTACTATCTAGCTACTACCCTCTCCTTACTGTCCTGATATTGGCTACCATCTAGCTACTACCCTATCCTTACTGTGGCAAGTGGGAGTGAAGGACACTTTGCCCCATGTTGTTGTGTGGTCGGCTACCAGTGCAAACTCTCCCCGACTATCACGGCGACATCCAGATGGCTACTAGTTCCAAATACTAATATTACAAGTTATTTATCGTATAGGCAACTATCCTCCTCTATCTAGTGGGATGGGAAAAAAAAAAAAAAACTGGCCACGTTAGCTTACGCCAGCAACGTAAAACAGCTGCCTGGTGGGAAGCAACTCACGTCTGCAAGCACACGCCTCTTCGCCCAACCATATCGCTTCGCTCCGGCAGACCTGTCGCCCACAGCGAAAAGGCTAGCAAGCACCTTTGATACAAAACCGTCGCATTGGGGTCATTCACACCGGCTTGTCATTACGTTAGCTGATTGACATGTCACGGTGACATCCAGATGGTGACCAATACTACAAGTTGTGTCTCCCTCGCCCGTCAAAATAAAACACAACTTTATTTTACACGTTTTAACTAGCTCCATGCTGCTGTTGTTGCCAGCACAAACTAGGTAGCTGGAAGGGCTCATCAGGACGACTGACTGAACTAAATCCATTCTTCTCCACTCGACTCTCAGCTGCGCGACAAACAGTGCATTCTTAAAGTATTCAGACCCCTTGACTTTTTCCATATTTTGTTAAGTTACAGCCTTATTAAAAAACAGATCAAAGAAAATAACAAAAATCCTCAATCTACACACAATACCCCATAATGAAATCCAAAACAGATGTAGACATTTTTTGCAAATTTATTCAAAATAAACTGAAATGCCTTATTTACATAAGTATTCAGACCCTTTGCTATGAAACTCGATATGGAGCTCAGGTGCATCCTGTTTCCATTGATCATCCTTGAGATGTTTCTACAACTTGATTGGAGTCCAACTGTGGTAAATTCAATTGATTAGACATGATTTGGAAAGGCACACACCTGTCTATATAAGGTCCCACAGTTTGCAGTGCACGTCAGAGCAAAAACCAAGCCATGAGGTCGAAGGAATTGTCCGTAGAGCTCCGAGACAGGATTTTGACGAGTCACAGATCTGGGGAAGGGTACCAAACAATTTGCTGCAGCATTGAAGGTCCCCAAGGAACACAGTGGCCTCCATCATTCTTAAATGGAAGACGTTTGGAACTACCAAGACTCTTCCTAGAGCTGGCCGCCCGGCCAAACTGAGCAATCGGGGGAGAAGGGCCTTGGTCAGGGAGGTGATCAAGAACCCGATGGTCACTCTGACAGAGCTCCAGTTCCTCGGCAGAGATGGGAGAACCTTCCAGAAGGACAACCATCTCTGCAGCACTCCACCAATCAGGCCTTTATGGTAGAGTGGCCAGACGGAAGCCACTCCTCAGTAAAAGGCACATGACAGCCCACTTGGAGTTTGCCAAAAGGCACCTAAAGCACTCTCAGACCATGAGAAACAAGATTCTCTGGTCTGATGAAACCAAGATTTAACTCTTTGGCCTGAATGCCAAGCGTCACATCTGGAGGAAACCTGGCACCATCCCTACGGTGAAGCATGGCGGTGGCAGCATCATGCTGTGGGGATGTTGCAGTCTCCCGAGTGGCACAGTGGTCTAAGGCACTGCATCGCAGTGCAAGCTGTGCCACTAGAGATCCTGGTTCGAATCCAGGCTCTGTCGTAGCCGGCCGCGACCGGGAGACCCATGGGGCGGCGCGCACAATTGGCCCAGCGTCGTCCAGGGTAGGGGAGGGATTTGGCCGGCAGGGGATGTAGCTCAGTTGGTAGAGCATGGCGTTTGCAACGCCAGGGTTGTGGGTTCGATAAAATAATGCATGTACTAACTGTAAGTCGCTCTGGATAAGAGCGTCTGCTAAATGACTAAAATGTAAATGTAAATGTAATGTTATTCAGCAAAGTACTGAGAGATCCTTGATGAGCGCACTCAGGACCTCAGACTGGGGTCAAGGTTCACCTTCCAACAGGACAACGACCCTAAGCACACAGCCAAGACAATGCAGGAGTGGCTTCGGGACAAGTCTCTGAATGTCCTTGAGTGGCCCAGCCAGAGCCCGGACTTGAAAACGATCGTACATCTCTGGAGAGACCTGAAAATTGCTGCGCAGTGACGCTCCCCATCCAACCTGACAGAGCTTGAGAGGATCTGCAGAGAAGAATGGGAGAAACTCCCCAAATACAGGTGTGCCAAGCTTGTAGCGTCACACCCAAGAAGACTCGAGGCTGTAATTGCTGCCAAAAGTGCTTCAACAAAGTACTGAGTAAAGGGTCTGAATACTTATGTAAATGTGACATTACAGTATTTTTGCAAAAATTTCTAAAAACCTGTTTTTGCTTTGTCATTATGGGGTATTGTGTGTAGATTGATGAGGGGAAAAAACCAATTTAAATCAATTTTAGAATAAGGCTGTAAGGAAAAAAAATGTGGAAAAAGTCAAGGGGTCTGAATACTTTCCGACTGCGCTGTACGTCATCAATTTGGGCACCAGGCGTTTCCGTATAGCCTCTCCCTCCTAGAAGTTGTTTGTGCGACTTCAAAATGAGGGGAGTTGTACAAAAATTCATCAGCAACTGGATCGTCTCTTACAAATCTAACTTATCAGAATATCAAAGTTGATAAGACCATGTAGGCTGGCTCTGGCCCAACCCATCGGTTTCTAGGAACAATAAGAACATTCTAGAAATCATCGGGGAGGGAGGCAAATCCAGAAGAATGGTGGAAGAGAAACGTCATGTGGATGGGTAGCCAGGAAAACCTACCTCTTGACGTCTCCGTGTATGAGCTGGGGAGAGGAAGAGTGGAGGAACTGGATGGCTCTGGCTGTGCCCAGCAACACACTGACACACTGTGGCCAGAAGAGGGCAGCACTAGCCTGAGGGAGGGACACACACGTAGACGGACAGTCAACACACACCAACACATTATATTCCAGGTTCCAGCCTTGTGTCATGTCCTCCTTTCCTATTGTTTAATAAGCTGTCTCAATAACAGTCCCCGTCTCTCCATATAGCTGTCCCCGTCCCCATATACAGTTGAAATCAGAAGTTTACATACACCTTTTTACAAACACCTAAAAACTCAGTTTTTAACAATTCCTGACATTTAATCCTAGTAAAAATTCCCTGTCTTAGGTCAGTTAGGATCACCACTTTATTTTAAGAATGTGTAATGTCAGAATAACAGTAGAGAGAATGATTTATTTCAGCTTTTATTTATTTTATCACATTCCCAATGGGTCAGAAGTTTACATACACTCAATTAGTATTTGGTAGCGTTGCCTTTAAATTGTTTAACTTGGGTCAAACGTTTCAGGTAGCCTTCCACAAGCTTCCCACAATAAGTTGGGTGAATTTTGGCCCATTCCTCCTGACAGAGCTGGTGTAACTGAGTCAGGTTTGTAGGCCTCCTTGCTCGCACAAGCTTTTTCAGTTCTGCCCACAAATTTTCTATAGGATTGAGGTCAGGGCTTTGTGATGGCCACTTCAATACCTTGACTTTGTTGTCCTTAAGCCATTTTGCCACAACTTTGGAAATACACTTGGGGTCATTGTCCATTTGGAAGACCCATTTGCGACCAAGCTTTAACTTCCTGACTGATGTCTTGAGATGTTGCGTCAATATATCCACATCATTTTCCTTCCTCATGATGCTATCTATTTTGTGAAGTGCACCAGTCCCTCCTGCAGCAAAGCACCCCCACAGCGTGATGCTGCCACCCCCATGCTTCACGGTTGGGATGGTGTTCTTGGGCTTGCAAGCAACCCCCTTTTTCCTCCAAACATAACAATGGTCATTATGGCCAAACAGTTCTATTTTTGTTTCATCAGACCAGAGGACATTTCTCCAAAAAGTACAATCTTTGTCCCCATGTGCAGTTGCAAACCGTAGTCTGGCTTTTTTATGGCGGTTTTGGAGCAGTGGCTACTTCCTTGTTGAGCAGCCTTTCAGGTTATGTCGATATAGGACTCGTTTTACTGTGGATATAGATACTTTTGTACCTGTTTCCTCCAGCATCTTCACAAGGTCCTTTGCTGTTGTTCTGGGATTGATTTGCACTTTTCGCACCAAAGTACGTTCATCTCTAAGAGACAGAACTTGTCTCCTTCCTGAGCGGTATGACGGCTGCATGGTCCCATGGTATTTATACTTGCGTACTATTGTTCGTACAGATGAATGTGGTACCTTCAGGCGTTTGGAAATTGCTCCCAAGGATGAACCAGACTTGTGGAGGTCTACAATTTTCTTCTGAGGTCTTGGCTGATTTCTTTTGATTTTCCCATGATGTCAAGCAAAGAGGCACTGAGTTTGAAGGTAGGCCTTGAAATACATCCACAGGTACACCTTCAATTGACTAAAATTATGTCAAATTAGCCTATCAGAAGCTTCTAAAGCACTGACATCATTTTCTGGAATTTTCCAAGCTGTTTAAAAGCACAGTCAACTTAGTGTATGTAAACTTCTGACCCACTGGAATTGTGATACAGTGAATTATAAGTTAAATAATCTGTCTGTAAACAATTGTTGGAAAAATGACTTGTGTCATGCACAATGTGGATGTCCTAACCGACTTGCCAAAACTATAGTTTGTTAACAAGAAATGTGTAGAGTGGTTGAAAAAACGAGTTTTAATGATTCCAACCTGAGTGTATGTAAACTTCCAACTGTAGCTGTCCCCGTCAATGTTCTTTAGTTTTAAAAGATAAAAATAGACTGACCTGGTTGTGCAGCTGGTCTTCCAGAGAGCCGTTGGGCATGAAGACATAGAGCAGACAGTGGGCTCCTCGTCCGATACTGTAGCCCACAAGGTCCACTATATTGGGGTGTCTGTATCTGGGAGTGGAAAGGCACAGTTATTTTTCTGCCCATTGTCCGTGTCTTACAATGAAGAAGACACTTTTGACATGTAATTTCTTGGGGGGGGGGGGGGAAGTCGTACAGATGGAGCAGCGCTTTATTCAACAATACGAGGAAGATTACCTGCTTGGCCGAAGAGAGACTCCCCACAGCAGACCAGCAGAAGAGAGAGAGACTCACCACAGCAGACCAGCAGAAGAGAGAGACTCCCCACAGCAGACCAGCAGAAGAGAGAGAGAGAGAGACTCCCCACAGCAGACCAGCAGAAGAGAGAGACTCCCCACAGCAGAAGAGAGAGACTCACCACAGCAGAAGAGAGAGAGAGAGAGAGACTCACCACAGCAGACCAGCAGAAGAGAGAGAGAGAGAGACTCCCCACAGCAGACCAGCAGAAGAGAGAGACTCCCCACAGCAGAAGAGAGAGACTCACCACAGCAGAAGAGAGAGACTCCCCACAGCAGACCAGCAGAAGAGAGAGAGAGAGAGACTCACCACAGCAGACCAGCAGAAGAGAGAGAGAGAGAGACTCCCCACAGCAGACCAGCAGAAGAGAGAGACTCCCCACAGCAGAAGAGAGAGACTCACCACAGCAGAAGAGAGAGACTCCCCACAGCAGAAGAGAGAGACTCCCCACAGCAGAAGAGAGAGACTCACCACAGCAGAAGAGAGAGACTCACCACAGCAGAAGAGAGAGACTCCCCACAGCAGAAGAGAGAGACTCACCACAGCAGAAGAGAGAGACTCACCACAGCAGACCAGCAGAAGAGAGAGACTCACCACAGCAGACCAGCAGAAGAGAGAGAGAGAGAGAGAGAGACTCACCACAGCAGAGAGAGACTCCCCACAGCAGACCAGCAGAAGAGAGAGACTCCCCACAGCAGACCAGCAGAAGCAACAGAAGGCTGAAGAGGACAGTATATAGGGAACTTCTGATTCTCCACCTGGGCTTTTCTTGGTCAGGCTTCTGTATGATGGTATGGCACACAATATGATGTATGTGGAGTAGGGCTGACCGGTACTTTCCTACTAGAGCTGACCCCATTTAGTCGACCGGTACTTTCCTACTAGAGCTGACCCCATTTAGTCGACTGGTACTTTCCTACTAGAGCTGACCCCATTTAGTCGACTGGTCGATTGTTTGGTCGATAGGCTGTTGGTCGACCGAGAATGTTTTAGTCGAGCAGTTTAAAAAAAATAAAAAGTTTTATGGCACGTCTTGATTGACGCACGTCTGAGTGGACTAATCCACTGCGGAGGCTCACCAGTACCACCTGTAGTATATTTACCATTAATTACCATCATTTATTATCTACAATGTTCGTTTGGTTACCGTAATTTCTGTTAATGCATTCAATATATTATTATTATTCCAGTCTTTTACAACTCTCGTTGTCGGAGTGGACACGTTGTTTGCAGAGCGCACAACCTCGGCTACAGAACCTCGGCTACACTTGTGAGAAACAAGTTTTGGTTTATTTAATTCCATTTACGAGTTCTGTCAATTTAGTCGTTGTCTTTTGTTTGTAGCGCTCCTGTCAACGTTGAGTAAGGACGCGCACCTGATTACGCATAGAACTAGACCACTAAATGACCTGTGGAGCTTCTCAAAGTAATTTTTTCTTTGCCTCAAAACAGCAAGTAAACAAAAGTCTGTTTTTACATCGATTGAAAATGACAATAGTTCCTCAATTTAGCCTATTTGCAAAATCTTTCTAGCCATCTCCCTTTCGATAGCCATTCAGCGTGAAAGGAGAAAAAAAAATATGTCACGCTCTGATCCGGTGGAAACCTGGTTTACTTCATCTCTTGCACAAATACAGCGGTGTCTGTCCGGGGCTCACTGGCGCAGGAAACTGAGGGTCCAGAATATTTTATACAACGTTGCAAGTTTGTTAGCCCTTGGGCTGGACCAGGTTGATAGTTGATACAATGTTTCAAGTTCATTGCAGACAGGCCATGCGTAGCCAATGTGATTAATTTTTTATCACCAATATTTTCTACCTGCAGGTGCAATGTTATTATTGGTTCGCTTTATTTAGGCTATTTTTATAGTTTTTATATACTTTTAGATTTCTACAATCTTCGTTTAGATAGAATTTACATTAAATCACATGACAATCGTTTTAAGATACAAAGACTTTTTATAAAATAAATTTAACTGTTCCACGAAAATGTGCATATGAAAATTATAACAGATCGGTAGAATTGGTAAGATAAATTGGCAAAATGGAAAAGGTGGCCGGTCCCAGGTGTATTCTATTACAGGCAACTTCGGAAAAGTAATGGCAGAATCTGCAAAGGCCAGCAGCAAAGGGAGGGTGGTGGTTCGGGAACAGCTTTTTTTTCTTCTGGTTATGCCATCTTGATCTCTCGCTCCCTCTTGAGTCATTTGTGTCTTCATTATTAAAAAAATCGCAGTGCTTAAAGCATCAAACAAGCTCAGTAGCCTACATATAGTTGATTTTACTAAAACACATAGGGTGTGTCTATATAAAGGAAAAAAATCTATGTTTAAAAATTTCGACCAGTCGATTGGTCGAAAGAACACACGACTCTTGGTTGACCAAGATTTTTTATTTTTTTGTAGGGGCCAGGCCTATTTCCTACACAGATAACTTCTTAGAAAAGAGAGACAACCAAGAAGAATTGAAAGCAGAACGATGTTAAAGTGAGATGTCAGAGATAAAGAAGGAGAGGTTCTAAGACAAGAGTTTAAGAATGGACTGTCAGCTTACTGTGATAGTTTCTCCACTTCGGTCTTGAAGCTCTCCTTCACCACGCTCCAGTCTAGCAGAGAGTTCTACAAAGAGACACGAACAAGATCCCATTTAACAAACAGCATTTTACTGGCTTTCTTTTATTTAAAAATCATTCAAAATGACATTTACTGACCAGTTTAAAAACAGAAATAATAAAAGTAAATCATCAGTCGACATTTATACCGAGCAGTGTCTGAGGAAGGCCCGGAAAAATTGCCAAAAGACTTCAGCCGCAGACTATTCTCTCCATTACCGTCTGGCAAGCGGTACCGGAGCATCAGGTCTTGGACCAACATGCGCAGAGACAGCTTCTATCTCCACAGACTACCCGCACTGACTCATACTCTCAGGTCTCTATTCACAAGCACAATGTCACTCTCACGCTGCTGTTCCTGTTATTATTTATCCTGCTAACCAGTCACTTTTACCCCTGCCTACGTATACATACACTATACAGTGCATTGGGAAAGTATTCAGACCCCTTCCCCTTTTCCCACATTGTTACGTTACAGCCTTATTTAAAAAAAAATGGATTTTAAAAAGGTTTCCTCAAATCTACACACAATACCCCATACTGACGAAGTGAAAACAGATAAAGAAATGTTGGCATAAAAATAAAATGTGGGGATGTTTTTCCAGCGACAGGGACTGGGAGACTAGTCAGGATCGAGGGAAAGATGAACGGAGCAAAGTACTGAGAGATTCTTGATGAAAACCTGCTCCAGAGCGCTCAGGACCTCAGACTGGGGCGAAGGTTCACCTTCCAACAGGACAACGACCCTAAGCACACAGCCAAGACAACGCAGGAGTGGCTTCGGGACAAGTCTCTGAATGTCCTTGAGTGGCACAGCCAGAGCACGGACTTGAACCCGATCGTAAATCTCTGGAGAGACCTGAAAATAGCTGTATACTTTCTGAATGCACTGTATATACAAAAGTATGTGGACACCCCTTCAAATTAGTGAATTCGGCTATTTCAGCCACACCCGTTGCTGACAGGTGTATAAAATCGAGCACACAGCCATGCAATCTCCATAGACAAACATTGGCAGTAGAATGGCCCGTACTAAAGAGCTCAGTGACTTTCAACGTGGCACCGTCATAGGATGCCACCTGTCCAACAAGTCAGTTTGTCAAATTTCTGCCCTGCTAGAGATGCCCCGGTCCACTGTAAGTGCTGTTATTGTGAAGTGGAAACGTCTGGGAGCAACAACGGCTCAGCCGCGAAGTGGTAGGCCACACAAGCTCATAGAACGGGACCGTCAAGTGCTGAAGCTCGTAAAAATCGTCTGTCTTCAGTTGCAACACTCACTACAGAGTTCCAAACTGCCTTTGGAAGCAACGTCAACACAATAACTGTTTGAAGGGAGTTTCATGAAATGGGTTTCCATGGCCGAGCAGCCGCACACAAGCCTAAGATCACCATGCGCAATGCCAAATGTCGGCAGGAGTGGTGTAAAGCTCGCCGCCATTGGACTCTGGAGCAATGGAAACGCGTTCTCTGGAGTGATGAATCACTCTTCACCATCTGGCAGTCCGATGGACAAATCTGGGTTTGGCGGATGCCAGGAGAACGCTACCTGCCCGAATTCATAGTGCCAACTGTAATGTTTGGTGGAGGAGGAATAATGGTCTGGGGCAGTTTTTCATGGTTTGGGATAGGCCCCTTAGTTCCAGTGAAGGGAAATCTTAATGCTACAGCATACAATTAATTACATTCTAGATAATTCTGTGCTTCCAACTTTGTGGCAACAGTTTGGGGAAGGCCCTTTCCTGTTTCAGCATGACAATGCCCCCGTGCACAAAGCGAGGTCCATACAGAAATGGTTTGTCAAGATCGGTGTGGAAGAACTTGACTGGCCTGCACAAAGCCCTGGCCTCAACCACATCGAACACCTTTGGGATGAATTGGAACGCCGACTGCGAGCCAGGCCTAATCGCCCGACATCAGTGCCCAACCTCACTAATGCTTGTGACTGAATGGCAGCGATGTTCCAACATCTAGTGGAAAGCCTTCCCAGAAGAATGGAGGCTATTATAGCAGCAAAGGTGGGACCAACTCCATATTAATGTCCATGATTTTGGAATGGGATGTTCGACAAGCAGGTGTCCACATACACTACATTAACAAAAGTATCTAACCCCTACTACCATTGTATCCCTGCACATTGATAACATACTATAAAAAGGTACTGACCTTGTATAGTGTACATTCTCCTGTGTTTTACTTTGTGTTTTTATTCTTAGATGTTGTATATTTTTAGATATCTGACCTAGTATTGATTCAGTGCTCTTTAACCCTTTACACTGGTTCTCGTATACGGGTTGTGACTGACAGTCATTCTGAACCTGAGCAGCACACGCAACAAGAAGTTGCCCACATCCCTGCCGCTAATTGGGCAACTTCTGTAAAATGTTTTGTTGTCTTGAGTGATATAGAAATTAAAATATATACACAGGTTAAAAGTAAATGACTAAAATGTTCCACCCTTAAATATAGTTGTGAAATGTTCTTGTTTTTAAGTATGATTAGTACTTTCTTAGTAGTGACTAATTATTACACTCCGAAACCGTGCGAGATGTGTTAGAATCAACTACCTGGAAATGTGTGAGTGTAGGGCAAGTTGAGATTACATTGTGTTACTATTTAGCAATGTGAGTAGGAGTTAGGCCAGACAACAAAGGACAAGGAGAACTGGCTACAGACAACTGGGAAACCAAGATAACTGAGGAATTTAGGGAGGAGAGAGACTGTTAGGCTTGGAAGAGTGCATGTATGTATGTATGTATGTATGTATGTGTGTGTGTGTGTGTGTGTGTGTGTGTGTGTGTGTGTGTGTGTGTGTATGTATGTATGTATGTATATATGTGTGTGTGTGTGTGTGTGTGTGTGTGTGTGTGTGTGTGTGTGTGTGTGTGTATGTATGTATGTATGTATGTATGTATGTATGTATGTATGTATGTATGTATGTGTGTATGTGTGTGTGAACTGATGGCAGAATTCTCATTGAATAAACATCTCTGACTACGCAGACCGGGACTCTGTCCGTTTCTTGATCCTTTTGGGAGACGCACAGAGACACTGAAATAGTTTGTTGAATAATTCACATAACACTGAGTGAGGGAAATGCTGCACATTAAATGAGGACTTGATGTATTCTGAAAGATGAGAAGTTGAGGATTAGACTAAATACCTCTTTGATGTCATACAAGCAACAAATGTGCACTTCACATTTCCATATCATAATACTCATATCATATACAGTGTCAACGTTTATGATCACCAGGTCTGATTTACAGTTACAAGGTGACATGGCGTCATACCCTGGGTTGTTCTGAACAGAATGAGCCCATGTTTGTCTATTGTGAAGGAAATATACCGCAGCACCTGAATGCACTCATGTCTCCTTTCTATGACAACAAAATCTGTTTCTCTTAAAAATATATATATATATATATTTTTTTATGAGCATGCTTTGTAAATGTTTCTAAAACAATAAATGTATTACTAGTAAGAAGTAAAATGTGGTATATTGCTTAATATTTTTTTTGTGACCTGAGTCTTTTAACCAAAATATCACAGATGAGACAAAAATGTTCACCTGCCCCAGTAAGGGCGTTACTTGGTCAGGTCGCAGTTGTAAATGAGAACGTGTTCTCAACTGGCTTACCTGGTTAAATAAAGGTGAAAAAAAAAATATATATAAATATATATATATATATATATATATAACGTGACTCAAGTCAAGTGAGATCGAGTCGGACTAGTAGAAGTATTGTCTTCTTTCCTCTAACAGCTGAAACTCAAACACTGGGAAAAACAACCTGGCTTGTGAACAAAAACTATGTAAATAGCCAAGAAACACGAGGACAAAGTCTCACTTCGTTTGAAGTAAAGTAGACCATATTTTAATAATAATAATAATATATATTTAATTTTAATTTTATGAGAAGCTCTTCTAAAAATGCATCTTTCACTCAGCCCTTCATGTGCACAAAGCCCCCCGGCAGAGTTTAAGAGCGAGGTGGGATGTACAGGATTCATAAAATCGTACTTTGCGCGCGATTATTTGACCAGCTATGAAACAAAAACGACAGAAATACTTTGCAAACAGCTACTACTGCAGCATATCACTTATAAATGTGATCAAACTTGACTATTTTATTCACAAACGCGAATGAAATGCTCGCACCGTGGAGCCCTGACCACCCCCCGCCAACGTGGACAGTGAAATAGACATCTTACCCGCCCAATGCCAAAATCTACCCGCATTTGTCAGGTGGCGGGTGTTAGTTTTAGGCCCGGATCACGTAAACAAACAAACAAAACGTATAAAAAAAATAAAAAAAAACGTATATACACTGAACAAAAATATAAACGCGACATGTAAAAGTGTTGGTCCCATGTTTCATGAGATGAAATAGAAGATCCCAGAAATTTTCCATACGCACAAAAAGCTCATTTATGTCAAATTGAGGACAAACTTGTTTACATCCCCGTTTGTGAGCATTTTCTCCTTTGCCAAGATAATCCATCCACCTGACAGGTGTGGCACATCAAGAAGCTGATTAAAAACAGCATGATCATTACACAGGTGCACCTTGTGCTGGGGACAACAAAAGGCCACTCTAAAATGTGCAGTTTTGTCACACAACGCAATGCCACAGATGTCTGAAGTTGAGGGAGCGTGTAATTGGCATGATGACTGCAGGAATGTCCAACAGAGCTGTTGCTGGAGAATTGAATGTTCATTTCTCTACCATAAGCCGCCTCCAATGTCATTTTAGAGAATTCTGCAGGACGTCCAACCAGCCTCACAACCGCAGACCACGTGTATGGCGTCGTGTGGGTGAGTGGTGGCGGTGGGGTTACGGTATGGGCAGGCATAAGCTACGGACAACGAACACAATCGTATTTTATTGATGAAACGGCCGGCCTCCTGGGCTTTTCACGCACTACAGTGTCTACGGTTTTACGAGAACGGTGCGACAAAAAAAAAAAATACATCCAGTCAGCAGCAGTCCTGTGGGCGAAAACAGCTCGTTGATGAGAGGTCAAAAGGAGAATGGCAAGAATGGTGCAAGCTAGGTGGGCCACAAACAGACAAATAACGGCGCAGTACAACAGTGGTGTGCAGAACGGCATCTCAGAACACAAAACCCGTTGGTCCTTGTCACGGATGGACTATTGCAGCAGACGACCACACCGGGTTCCACACCAATCAGCTAAAAACAAGAAGAAGCGGCTCCAACGGTCACGTGATCACCAACACTGGACAATTGAGTCGAAAAAAACGGCACCCGGAACCTGACGGCAAGTTCAGTTTCCTTGAGTGGCCTGCACAGTCCCCAGACCTCACCCCAATAGAGCATCTTTGGGATGAGATGAAACGGGACGCTCGCAGCGTGAATGTACAGCCGTCCAATCTGCGTAATGCGATAGAGTCAGCATTGCCCAAAATCCCTATGAAACGTTTCCCGACACCTTGTAGAACGCCCAGAAGAATCCAGGCTGTACTCCATGGGGTGTAACTAATCAACTGTTCGGTGAGTGTAAAATGCACATAAAAATCACCAGTGTAATGTTTGGATTCAGTCTTTTGGCAGGTGAACGTTTGTGTCCTCACCCTGGGTCTATTAAATTTCCCATAATCTACAAACTGTTCAAAATGTCAATTAATACATGGTTAACGCATATGCTTTTCATATTTCAGTAAGAAACATTTGAATGTAGCCCCATCCATATAAGCCAATTCCCACGATTGTAAAAAGGGTTAAGATCCATTCTGTTTTTTTCTACTTTCTTACCTATATATTGAACACTGCATTGTTGAGAAAGAGCTCGTAAGTAAGCATTTCGCTGGACAGTTTTACACCTGTTGTATCCTGCTTACACAACACATACTTTGATTTGATTGAAACGGTTACATCACAAGATATCTTCACATCAACCATCTTCCTCCATGATACCACTGAAGAGGACTGAGCAGTCCCATGTCGCATACCTCTTTCAGCCTCTTGACAGCGTAGTCAGTACTCCTCATGGTAGCCCGGTACACATGTCCAAAACCCCCCTCTCCTATCTGCCTGGCCTGGGAGAAGTCCTCTGTTCCTCTCTGGACTTCCTCAAACGGCCAACACATAGCACTGGACAGCAGGGGGCCCCTGGAGTCAGACCACTAATGAAGAAGAACAAGACTTTATTGATCAATTTTCCTCTGCTTTGATCCCAACCCTCCAAAAAGACACAACCACCCACAGACTAATGAGACAGACCCAACCACCCACAGACTAATGAGACAGACACAACCACCCACAGACTAATGAGAAAGACCCAACCACCCACAGACTAATGAGAAAGACACAACCACCCACAGACTAATGAGACAGACCCAACCACCCACAGACTAATGAGACAGACACAACCACCCACAGACTAATGAGACAGAAACAACCACCCACAGACTAATGAGACAGACACAACCACCCACAGACTAATGAGACAGACACAACCACCCACAGACTAATGAGACAGACACAACCACCCACAGACTAATGAGACAGACACAACCACCCACAGACTAATGAGAAAGACACAACCACCCACAGACTAATGAGACAGAAACAACCACCCACAGACTAATGAGACAGACACAACCACCCACAGACTAATGAGACAGACACAACCACCCACAGACTAATGAGACAGACACAACCACCCACAGACTAATGAGACAGACTCAACCACCCACAGACTAATGAGACAGACCCAACCACCCACAGACTAATGAGAAAGACCCAATCACCCACAGACTAATGAGACAGACCCAACCACCCACAGACTAATGAGAAAGACCCAATCACCCACAGACTAATGAGAAAGACCCAATCACCCACAGACTAATGAGACAGACCCAACCACCCACAGACTAATGAGAAAGACCCAATCACCCACAGACTAATGAGAAAGATACTTTGGTATAGAACATAAATTACATCTACTACCGGTATTAGTAACCATGAATGAGTAGTCATTGTCGAGACCGACTGCCTACCAGAGAAATCAAACCGTTCTAAATATGTGTTAGTTCTGTTTTATTGTTTCGGTCTACTTTACAACCATTTCCTGAAGTCAACTATTTCATTCTGCTTTTTACATCTGAATCTAACAATAGCGACTATAGTTCCTCTCTCACACCGCTTTTCTTTCAAAGGCTGCGTTTACACAAGCAGGCCACTTTTGATGTATTGCCCAATTATTGGCAAAAGACCCGATCTGATCTGTCAAGACTGTAAAAAAGGGTTTTATAAAAATACACCCGAGTATACAAAACATTAAGAACACCTCTTTCAACGATAAGACTGACCAGGTGAATCCAAGCTATGATCCCTTATTAATGTCACCGGTTAAATCCACTTCAAAATCAGTGTAGATGAAGGGGAGGAGACAGGTTAAAGAAGGATTTAAGCCTTGAGACATGGATTATGTATGTGTGCCATTCAGAGGGTGAAAGGCCAAGACAAAAGATTGAAGAAATGTAGGTTGTTCTGAGGGATATTAGGAAGGTGTTCCTAATGTTTGGTAAACTCGGAGCACATTTGATTGATTGATGGATTGCTACTGAATGGCTTCCGTCACCTGTTGGTCTATAGACGTCCCTCTGTGGTCCTGTGATTTCAGCCCTGTGGGTGGAGGGCCAGGTTTGGGCAGAGCCCTCAGTCCTGGAGGGAGAGAGTCTGAGTGAAGGTGGAGCATAGACTGATCTGATAGCACAGCACTTTAAAACTGGGTTATGTGGACCAACGATAGCAGTGAATTTAAACTGGGTAAAATGGATCAACGATTGCAGTGAATTTAAACTGGGTTACATGGATCAACGATAGCAGTGAATTTAAACTGGGTTATGTGGACCAACGATAGCAGTGAATTTAAACTGGGTTACATGGACCAACGATAGCAGTGAATAATATGATAAAATACCTTACAGCCGTGTTATGAACATATTAAAAACACAGAGATCCTATAAACACAGAGATCCTATAAACACAGAGATCCTATAAACACAGAGATCCTATAAACACAGAGATCCTATAAACACAGAGATCCTATAAACACAGAGATCCTATAAACACAGAGATCCTATAAACACAGAGATCCTATAAACACAGAGATCCTATAAACACAGAGATCCTATATGTAATTCTATGGTGTAAAATATGATAAGACTTTGTAAGCCTTTGTTAGAATCATATTACAAGCAGTGTGAAATCTTTTATTTGTATTTATTTTTTTACATTTTTTAGCAGACGCTCTTATATAGAGCGACTTACATGAGCAATTAGGGTTAAGTGCCTTGCTCAAGGCCACAGACAGATTTTTCACCTAGTCGGCTCGGGGATTAGAACCAGCAACCTTTCGGTTACTGGCACAACGCTCTTACCCACTAAGCTACCTGCCTAAATCTATGTAAGAAGTGTTATAATAATCAGTGTTGTAAGCATAGTATGCGCAGTGTATAGTGAGAAGAGACGTTACCAGGTGGAGAGAGTCTCTTCGTGGTCAGAGTGCTGGCAGGATGGGCTTTAGGAGGGGGCTTGAAGAGGTGAGAGGGGGGAACGGGAGGCTCCAGTTTAACCTGCGACGGGGCAGCAAGTGGAGTGGAAGAGGGCCGCTGTCCACTGGGCTTCCCTATATTAACAAAACAGAAGCCTTTACACAGTCATCTTCCAGAAGCATCCATTATAAAGAACAATGATTCTTCCCGGTCGGTCGGTCGGTCGTCCGTCCGTCCTGTCCGTCTGCGCGCGCACGCGTCCGTCCGTCTGTCTCTGTCTGTCTGTCTGTGCACGCACACGTCCGTCCTTCTGCCCAGGTCTGTGTCAAACTCACAGTCCAGGATGATGTCTCTGGCTCTGAACAGCTGCAGCTTCTCCAACACGTTCAGTAGTTCTCCCACTGTTCCATTCCTCTGAGCCCAGTGGTTCATCACCCAGTCTGTCCGTCGCTCTCTCCTCTCAGCCAGACGTCTGTCAGTCTGGTCCGTCAACACATGGGACGCTGCCATGGAGGACCAATAACAAAATGGTATAGAAATCAATAATTGTTTAGAGATCAAATCACACCATAATACACCTCAGTTACAGTCACAGCAGCACTACTGTTGTTCGCTCTGCTCTTCCTGATCGGGAAAAACTCTGGGCCCTACAGGGTCATACTTAGGGCCCCAGAGGTTATTCCTTATTAGGTCATGTGGCCAGGAAAAACTTTGGGTCCTGCTCATAATGTATCCAGCTAGTTAACTGTCTCATCTGTATAATGGCTTTTTTACTGAGCTAGCTAGCTAGCTAGCTAGCTAGCAATACCGTTCATAGCAAAGATACTTACAACTTTATTTGGTGTTCATAGTCAATGGAAATCAACTTTAAGCAAATATTATCTATACTGAAAGATACTGGCTTCACCTCTTCCTCTCTGCTTTAGCTTGGCTATCCCCAACGGCGCATGCATGACTACTAGCTAGCTAGCGAGAGGCTATACCTGAGAGGAAGAAGCGAGAGGGTTTCGGCAAGCAACTCATTCATTATTTAGCAAGTGAGGAGTTATTTTATGGGGGGGCAATGAGAGTGTCAAATTTAGAATTGCTATTTTGATACGTGATGCATCAGCATGCTTCAGTTCGGCTGGACGAGTGTGCTGCATACCAGCGGTGCAAAGTACTTAAGTAGTAGTTTAAAGTATTTTTTACTTAAGTAGTTTGAGGGTATCTGTACTTTATTTATATTTGACAACTTTTATTTCACTACATTTTAAAACGACATTTATGTACTTTTTACTACATACATTTTCCCTGACACCCTAAAGTACTCGTTACATTTTGAATGCTTAGCAGGACAGGAAAATCGTCAAATTCATGCACTTATCAAGAGAACATCCCTGGTCATCCCTACTGCCTCTGATCTGACGGACTCACGAAACACAAATGCTTAATTTGTAAAGATGTCTGAATGTTCGCGTGTGCCCCTGGCTATCCGTAAAATAAAACAAAACAAGAAAATGTGCGGTCTGGTTTCCTTAATGTAAGGAATTAGAAATTATTTATACTTTTAATTTTGATACTTAAGTATATTAAAAACCAAATATTTTCAGACTTTTACTCAAGTAATATTTTACTGGGTGACTTTCACTCGAGTCATTTTCTACTAAGGTATCTTTACTTTTACTCAAGTATGACAATTGGGTAGTTTTCCCACCACTGCTGCATAATCCCTTAAGGCCAGGCACCACAGGCAAAACATAATCCCTTAAGGCCAGGCACCACAGGCAAAACATAATCCCTTAAAGCCAGGCACCACAGGCAAAACATAATCCCTTAAGGCCAGGCACCACAGGCAAAACATAATCCCTTAAGGCCAGGCACCACAGGCAAAACATAATCCCTTAAGGCCAGGCACCACAGGCAAAACATAATCCCTTAAGGCCAGGCACCACAGGCAAAACATAATCCCTTAAGGCCAGGCACCACAGGCAAAACATAATCCCTTAAAGCCAGGCACCACAGGCAAAACATAATCCCTTAAAGCCAGGCACCACAGGCAAAACATAATCCCTTAAAGCCAGGCACCACAGGCAAAAAATAATCCCTTAAGGCCAGGCACCACAGGCAAAACATAATCCCTTAAGGCCAGGCACCACAGGCAAAACATAATCCCTTAAGGCCAGGCACCACAGGCAAAACATAATCCCTTAAGGCCAGGCACCACAGGCAAAACATAATCCCTTAAGGCCAGGCACCACAGGCAAAACATAATCCCTTAAGGCCAGGCACCACAGGCAAAAAATTGTGATTTTGCTTCCATCTACAACTTCTATAATTTCACAAAATGTACAAATAAATCAGAATGTATATAAATACTTGATTTGTATCATTTTTTCCCATCGCCGTCAACTACACCTAGCATACATTGTGCTCCTCTGCATACATTGTGCTCCTCTGCATACATTGTGCTCCTCTGCATACATTGTGCTCCTCTGCATACATTGTGCTCCTCTGCATACATTGTGCTCCTCTGCATACATTGTGCTCCTCTGCATACGTTGTGGTCCTCTGTAGCTCAGCTGATAGAGCACGGCGCTTGTAACGCCAAGGTAGTGGGTTCGATCCCCAGGACCACCCATACACAAAAAAAAAAAATGTATGCAGGCATGACTGTAAGTCGCTTTGGATAAAAGCGTCTGCTAAATGGCAGATTATATTATTATTTATACATTTTGTTCTTGTTAGCATGTTTCATGATGAACTTAAACCGCTATTTTAAAAAATCTTCACGTTGAATCATATCATTCAAAAGCTTGTTTTCCGGAGCATATCGTTAGTTAGTCCATACATGGCTATATTCTTTGTAGATGTAGTGCTTCGTGCTGAAAAATGAGTAATTTCCTGACATCCGATTGGTTACCGGCATTTAAAAGGCCCTTTCCGGCAACCTGATTGGTTAAAATGCCTCAGCATTTCCTTGTTTGAAAATATCTCCCGCGAAGAATCCACGTAAAGAGAGACAAAATTAGAAATTCTCAAAGAAAATACCTACTGTATGTGAATAAAAATAGGCGATCTCAGTTGGCCAATGCGAGAAAAGCAGTGAATGATAGAAAACATGAGCCTGATCAGCCGATCCAGGAAGTGGCAGTACAGGTAGAGGAGGGAAAGGAGGAGGCCGGCAGCAGCGCGCCGAGACGCACATTAGTTGAGATGAAGATGACAGCTAGCAGCTAGCAGCGATCAACCAGACAGCAGCCAGCTAGCAGCGATCAACCAGACGGCAGCCAGCTAGCAGCGATCAACCAGACGGCAGCCAGCTAGCAGCGATCAACCAGACGGCAGCCAGCTAGCAGCGATCAACCAGACGGCAGCCAGCTAGCAGCGATCAACCAGACGGCAGCCAGCTAGCAGCGATCAACCAGACGGCAGCCATCTAGCAGCGATCAACCAGACGGCAGCCAGCTAGCAGCGATCAACCAGACGGCAGCCAGCTAGCAGCGATCAACCAGACGGCAGCCAGCTAGCAGCGATCAACCAGACGGCAGCCAGCTAGCAGCGATCAACCAGACAGCAGCCAGCTAGCAGCAATCAACCAGACAGCAGCCAGCTAGCCGCAATCAACCAGACAGCAATCAACCAGCTAGCCGCGATCAACCAGACAGCAATCAACCAGCTAGCCGCGATCAACCAGACAGCAATCAACCAGCTAGCCGCGATCAACCAGACAGCAGCCAGCTAGCAGCGATCAACCAGACAGCAATCAACCAGCTAGCCGCGATCAACCAGACAGCAGCCAGCTAGCAGCGATCAACCAGACAGCAGCCAGCTAGCAGCAATCAACCAGACAGCAGCCAGCTAGCAGCAATCAACCAGACAGCAGCCAGCCAACAGTCTCTTTTATTCCACATGTCACAAATAAACCAACATGTACATGATTTGATTTGCCCTTAGTGTCTAAACACTGGACTGAAAATCACTATAGACCCCCACCAACCAGGGATTCTGTCATGATAGAATGTGCACACTGAAGGTGATCGTGATGCATTTAGGAGGAGTGTTTCCACTTCCTCCAGGCTGCAGGAGGGCTCCAGGGGAGATGTGGCATTCGATATAAATGTGAGGATGGTTCTTCTAGCCCACGAACTTGGACTTGGTTATGCAGCTCTAAAGAAAATCAACAAAGGGATTCCTTCCCTGAGTCTCAGCTCATATCAGAGACGTGACAGGAGAGTGACAGGTCAATAAAAAGGGAGAGTAGCCCATTATTGTCAGGTGACTTGCTGTGTATAAATAATATTTATTTCCTTGCTCCAGCAAATGTAATCAAAGTAAATAGACAGAGCGATAGGAAAACATACCCATACAACGAGACTATCACATAGGCCTACGGTGTCATAGGGCTGTAGCCTTCTGTCATTACTGAGTAAATACATGCTGATATGCTAATATTTACATAGGGTAACATGCTAATATTTACATAGGGTAACATGCTGATATTTACATAGGGTAACATGCTGATATTTACATAGGGTAACATTTACATCAGGGGTGTCAAACGTACGGCCCGCGGGCCGGATCAGGCCCGCAAACGGGTTTAATCCGGCCCGCGAGATGATTTTGAGAGAAAAATAAATAAATAAAAAAAAATGTTTTTTTTGTAAAGTATAAAAATGCGCTGCCATTTTTCTATAAAATAAACTGCTGTTCCAATTGCGTCCACTGGATGGCGCAATAGCAATTGTGTTAAGCAAGCAAACTGTTTATACCGGGGCAGAGCAAGTAGGTCAAGCACGTGCAGCCAATGAGCTACTTTGTTTTGCCCGCGATATTTATTACGGCTTCTACTTTTAACATTATGTGCTTTGGCACCCTCATTGCCCCAATATGTCTCTGTCAAAAAAGAGAAAAGTGGACACAGAGTGCAGAGTGTTCCAAGAAAAATGGTCATCCTATTTATTCACGGAATTGAATGGGAAAGCTGTATGTTTGGTGTGTTCAGAGCATGTTGCAGTGCTGAAAGAATATAACCTTCGTCGCCACTATGTGAGTCTTCATGCCGACAAATATGACAACTTTCAAGGACAGCGGAGATGAGAGAAGGTGAATGAACTGTTGGCGGGTCTGAAGAAACAGCAGTCTGTGTTTACTCACAGCCGAGACATCAGTGACACTGCAGTGAAAGCTAGCTACCTCATTGCTAATGAAATCGCAGTGGCTTCAAAACCATTTAGTGAGGGTGAATTTGTAAAAACATGCATGATGAAGGCAGCGGAGATTGTGTGCCCTGAAAAGCGGCAGGATTTTGCAAATATCAGCCTGACAAGAAACACAGTTGCAGACAGGATTTCCGATCTTTCAGTGGATTTGGACAGCCAGTTGAAGCCAAAAGTAAAGTCATTTATTGCGTTTTCGGTTGCAATTGATGAAAGCACGGACATTACAGATGTTGCACAACTGGCCATTTTCATCCGCGGAGTTGATGACACATTGACCGTCACCGAGGAGTTTGTGGAGTTGGTGCCGATGACAGATACAACGACAGCAGCTGATATTTTTACCGCACTCGTTGGCGCGCTGGACAGGGTCGGAGTGGACTGGTCCCGCGCTGTCAGCCTGGCTACAGATGGTGCGCCTTCAATGATCGGGAAAAAAAGCAGGCGTTGTGACAAAGTTCAGAGAGAAAGTGCAATCTGCAAATGGAGGACGTGATTTTTTGACTTTTCACTGTATTTTGCACCAGGAGGCTTTTTTTTGTTGCAAGTCATTAAAGATGGATAACGTCATGAAGGTGGTCATCCAAACTGTTAATTTCATCCGATCCAGAAGCCTGAATCACCGTCAGTTTGACAGCCTTCTCAGAGAGAAAGACCACATCTATGGCCTGCCATACCACACTGAGGTAAGATGGTTAAGCCGAGGTGCTGTGCTGAGGCGTTTCTTTGATTTACGAGAAGAAATTGAACAGTTCATGGAAGAAAAGGGCAAACCAGTGTTAGAATTTCATTCCGCAGAATGGATGCAGGACCTTGCATTTATGGTGGATGTTACAGAGCACCTGAATAACTTGAACAAACAGCTGCAAGGGCGCAACAAAGTTGTCACGCAGTATTATGACAGCATACGTTCTTTCAAGTTGAAGCTGTCATTGTGGGAGACGCAACTTGCCGGTGGTGATGCAGCTCACATCCCCTGTCTGAAAAATGTGTGCGCGACCCAACGTGGCAGACATGAAGCGATTCAAAGATAAAATAACGGGACTGTTACGGGAGTTTGAGCAACGCTTTCAGATTTATGTTGATGTTTTTATGTTGATGTGCTATTGTTTTTAATTGTTTTTATTTGTATATTTAACCTATTCTTGACTCTGTGGTTCTTGCACTTGTTTGGGGAACAGGATTTCATTATTTTTATCTACATTTCTGCCTGAGAAATGACACCCTGATATAGTTCTGTGATCTGTGATATACTTCTGTGAATCACTGAGGCATTGTGTGTTTGTGTGTTCTTTGTCCTCAGAACTTTCAAATAACTTGAGGTGTTTTATGATTAATAGTGATGTTGTGCTTTTGGACACTGTCCTCAGGCTCCAGCTTTATGTTTATATGTTTTTATGTTGATGTGCTATTGTTTTTAATTGATTTTATTTTATTTGTATATTTAACCTATTCTTGACTCTGTGGTTCTTGCACTTGTTTGGGGAACAGGATTTCATTATTTTTATCTACATTTCTGCCTGAGAAATTACACCCTGATATAGTTCTGTGATCTGTGAAACAGTTCTGTTAATCACTGAGGCATTGTGTGTTTGTGTGTTCTTTTTCTTTAGAATTTTCAAATAAACTTGACGTGTTTTATGATTAATAGTGATGTTGTGCTTGTACTATTTTGGACACACTGTCCTCAGGCTCCAGCTTTATGTTGATCGTATTAAAACAAAGAAAACAATCTGAAGTTGTTGTTTTTAAGTTATATATACCATGATTTTTCCGGTCCGGCCCACTTGGGAATAGATTTTCCTCCATGTGGCCCCTGAGCTAAAATGAGTTTGACACCCCTGATTTACATACATTTACATTTTAGTCATTTAGCAGACGCTCTTATCCAGAGCGACTTACAGTTAGCGCATACATTATTTTATCGAACCCACAACCCTGGCGTTGCAAACGCCATGCTCTACCAACTGAGCTACATCCCCTGCCGGCCATTCCCTCCCCTACCCTGGACGACGCTGGGCCAATTGTGCGCCGCCCCACGGGTCTCCCGGTCGCGGCCGGCTACAACAGAGCCTAACATGCTAATATTTACATAGGGTAACATGCTGATATTTACATAGGGTAACATGCTGATATTTAGTCCTGCAGTTATGACTGTAATGTCGACAGACATAAGTACTTCCCCCCCCCCCCCCCCCCCCCCCCCCGCCCCCACACTTTAGTTGCAGAGATTCAGAGAGGGCTACAGTCAATGGGGATGCTAATGGAAGAGCATACACAGATATAGTCCCAGACATAGCAGAGTTAAATAATAATAATACTTTTTTTTTACGAGAATCCGTTTGGGGTATATATATACCCCATGTAATACTACATTATCTTGTATTTATGTATACTTTAAAACTGGTAAAGTTTCAGTCTGATGAGAGTAAAGAAACAAAAAATCCCTATTAGCCTGTGGTGCCTGGCCTTAAAAGACCTTGGCTTGAAAAACGACAAAAAAGGGGCAATAGTGTGTTTGTCCATTTTGAGTTTACGTAGGCCGGTATATACTTCCTCGAAATAGTCATAAATGATCGAAGATCACGCAATAAATCTGTCAGATTTGCAATTTGTAATGCAATTTTGCATCTGACTGGCATGATTGATGTAATATTCAAGTGAATCCCTACTGTTGCTCAAGCCCGGACGAGGGGCCGTCTGCATGCTTCCCAACCGCAACTATTCCGAACAGTTTCCGCATATATTCTGACGACATTTTGGTTTCGTCTTGGACTTCGGGTTTCATTCGGCTGTTCGGACGAGATACGTCATCAACTTGGACACCATAGCTTATCCTACATTTTAGTCATTTAGCAGACGCTCTTATCCAGAGCGATTTACAGGAGCAATTAGGGTTAAGTGCCTTGCTTAAGGGCACATCGACAGATTTTTCACCTACTCGGCTCGGGGATTAGAACCAGCGACCTTTCGGTTATTGGCACAACGCTCTTAACCACTAAACTACCTGCCGCCCAACAGCACCTGCTCCTACTAGCACAGAGTTTTTTAAACATTTACATTTTTTGGCATTTTAGCAGACCCTCTTATCCAGAGACTACATTTCCCCCCCCCATACTGGTCCCCCGTGGGAAACGAACCCACAACCCTGGCGTTGCAAACGCCATGCTCTACCAACTGAGTTACATTTTTTTAAAAACTATATTTCCTACTAACTAGCATGTCGGTCAGTGCCATTTCTTACCGAATCTGTCCCAGTCCACGTCGGAGATACTGTCCATAACACCGGAGAACTCGCACAGGACAACTGGTGGTAACTTGTACAAGTACACCTTTCTGATATCCCAGGACGACATCTTTAGACCTTGCTAGCCAACGCGTTACGTAGCTAGCAAGCTAGCTCTAACATTTTTTGGCATTTCAAATTTACTACGGTAAGAATTATGACGCTAGAAAGCGAAACGTTACTCAATCAAGCCGATGACGATAGCGTGGTTGTCCGTGATAAAAAATAAATAAAAGTCTAATAAAAACCGTTAGTTTTTGCGATTCAATAAGTTATTTCCCAGCTTCAAGTATGCCTAGAAACTTCCGCTGTCGCCAACAATCAGAATTTAAACGTGGGTGCCACGCCCCCTAGCCCACCACGTGATGGGCTACTTCTCCCTTCAAATCAAATCAAATGAAATTGTATTTGTCACATACACGTGTTTAGCAGATGTTATTGCAGGGCGGGTGTAGTGAAATGCTTGTGCTTCTAGCTCCGACAGTGTAGTAATATCTAACAAGTAATATCTAACTATTTCACAACATATACCCTATACACACAATCTAAGTAAGGAATGGAATTAAGAATATATACAAGCAATGACAGAGCAGCATGAACTAAGATACAGTAGAATATTATAGAATACAGGATATACATATGAGATGAGTAGTGCAAGATATGTAAACATTATTAAAGTGACTTCATGGAAAATAATCAATGTTCAGTGTGCCTTGAATTCTAAATAAATCACAGACAGTGTCACCAGCAAAGCACCCCCACACCATAACACCTCCTCCTCCATGCTTTACGGTGGGAAATACACATGCAGAGATCATCCGTTCACCCACACCGCGTCTCACAAAGACATGGCGGTTGGAACCAAAAATCTCAAATTTGGACCAAAGGACACATTTCCACTGGTCTAATGTCCATTGCTCGTGTTTCTTGGCCCAAGCAAGTCTCTACTTCTTATTGGTGTCATTTTGTAGTGGTTTCTTTGCAGCAATTCCACCATGAAGGCCTGATTCACACAGTCTCCTCTGAACAGTTGATGTTGAGATGTGTCTGTTACTTCAACTCTGTGAAGCATTTACTTGGGTTGCAATTTCTGAGGCTGGTAACTCTAATAAACTTATTTACATTTACATTTTAGTCATTTAGCAGACGCTCTTATCCAGAGCGACTTACAGTTAGTGAATACATATTTTTTTATACTGGCCCCCCGTGGGAATCGAACCCACAACCCGGCGTTGCAAACGCCATGCTCTATCAACTGAGCTACATCCCTGCCGGCCATTCCCTCCCCTACCCTGGACGACGCTGGGCCAATTGTGCGCCGCCCATGAGTCTCCCGGTCGCGGCCGGCTGCGACAGAGCCTGGATTCGAACCAGGATCTCTAGTGGCACAGTTAGCACCACTATGCAGTGCCTTAGACCACTGCAGCAGAGGTAACTCTGGATCTTCCATGCCTATGGTGGTCCTCATGAGAGTCAATTTCATCATAGCGATTGATGGTTTTTGCGACTGCACTTGAAGAAACGTTCAAAGTTCTTGAAATGTTCCATATTGACCTTTGTGTCTTAAAGTAATGATGGACTGTTGTTTCTCTTTGCTTATTTGAGCTGTTCTTGCCATAATATTGACTTGGTCTTTTACCAAATAGGGCTATCTTCTGTATACCCCCCCCCTCCCTTGTCACAACACAACTGATTGTCTTAAATGCATTAAGAAGGAAAGAAATTCCACAAATTAACTTTTAAGAAGGCACACCTGTTAATTGAAATGCATTGCAGGTGACTACCTCATCAAATCAAAATCAAATCAAACCAAATGTATTTGTCACATACACATTATTTATTTTTTTGGTCATTTAGCAGACGCTGGCGTTTGCAACGCCAGGGTTGTGGGTTCGATTCCCACGGGGGGCCAGTATAAAAAAATAATATATATATGTATTCACTAACTGTAAGTCGCTCTGGATAAGAGCGTCTGCTAAATGACTTAAATGTATATACATATGAGATGGGCAATGCAAGATATGTAAACCTAATTAAAGTGACCAGTGATTTTCAAGTCTGTATGTAGGCAGCAGCCTCTCTGTGCTAGTGATGGCTGTTTAACAGTCTGATGGCCTTGAGATAGAAGCTGTTTTTCAGTCTCTCGGTCCCAGCTTTGATGCACCTGTACTGACCTCGCCTTCTGGATGATAGCGGGGTGAACAGGCAGTGGCTCGGGTGGTTGATGTCCTTGATGATCTTTTTGGCCTTCCTGTGACATCGGGTGCTGTAGGTGTCCTGGAGGGCAGGTAGTGTGCCCCCGGTGATGCGTTGGGCAGACCGCACCACCCTCTGGAGAGCCCTGCGGTTGTGGGCGGTGCAGTTGCCGTACAAGGCGGTGATACAGCCCGACAGGATGCTCTCAATTGTGCATCTGTAAAAGTTTTTGAGGGTTTTAGGTGACAGGCCAAATTTCTTCAGCCTCCTGAGGTTGAAGAGACGCTGTCACGACGCTGGTTGAGAGAATGCCAAGAGTGTGCAAAGCTGTCATCAAGGCAAAGGGTGGCTATTTGAAGAATCTCAAATATAAAATATATTTTGATTTGTTTAACACTTTTTTGGTTACTACATCATTCCATATGTGTTATTTCATAGTTTTGATGTCTTCACTATTATTCTACAATGTAGAAAGTAGTAAAAATAAAGAAAAATCCTGGAATGAGAAGGTGTGTCCAAACTTTTGACCGGTACTGTACGTTAGCCTAATATGATCCACTATTGCTAGCGATCCTCAGGAACACCTACACAAACGTGACATAGGAAAGAAAAGTAAACTAACTATGTAACGGAATGATGCAAAATGTAAGGAAACTAACACTAAAGTGACAGTTATACATTTATGTGGGTATCACTGATGGTTGCTACCGATCGTGGCTAATATTTAAAACAATACACATTTTTAACAAAATACAGTGAAAAGTCTGGGCATATAATTCAAACATTCTAGAAATCATAAATCAACTCAGTAGGTTTGGCGCGCTATACTGTCATTTGCGCATGGCTACAGAATAATATACCTTGGGTCTCCAAATGTCATCATTGCAAGTTACAAGGCCAGCATTTCATAAACTTCCCTGTGGAAAAGTTGATACGCTTCAGTTTGCTGCCATGTGACTTTTTTTCACGTGTCCAGCGGTCATAAGGTAAAATTGATCTAAAATAATTGTCATTTATAGTTACAATCCCCTTATTAAAACGACTTACTCAGTTAGCTAACTCTTATCAATAGCTCGTATCAATTTGTAAATTACAGTCATAGAGAATGATGTTATTTCAATCTGAAAAAATAAAAGTAGATGTTGTTCCACTTGGAACCGATAGGTTGCTCGACCTTATTCACTCCTGAGTGGCGCAGTGGTCTAAGGCACTGCATCGCAGTGCTAACTGTGCCACTAGAGATCCTGGTTCGAATCCAGGCTCTGTCGCAGCCGGCCGCGACCGGGAGACTCATGGGCGGCGCACAACTGGCCCAGCGTCGTCCAGGGTAGGGGAGGGAATGGCCGGCAGGGATGTAGCTCAGTTGATAGAGCATGGCGTTTGCAACGCCAGGGTTGTGGGTTTGATTCCCACGGGGGGCCAGTATAAAAAAAAAATATGTATTCACTAACTGTAAGTCGCTCTGGATAAGAGTGTCTGCTAAATGACTAAAATGTAATGTAAATGTTTCATTCCGCGTTAAGGTGAGGGAATTAAGTCCAGGTCAGAATAGGGCGTATCAATAGACACACCTCCGCCGATGACATGGACGTCGATTAAGGCAGCCCCCAGCACCTCTCTGATTCAGAGGTTAAATGCAGAAGACACATTTCGGTTGAACGCATTCAGTTGTGCAACTGACTAGGTATCCCCTTTGCTTTCCCCTTAATTTATTTGATCGCCACTCAAAACGAATAGTGGGTGAATAGCTATTCTCAAGTTTAAGTTAAAGGTCGGAATTCCCGCGTAGAGAGAACAGTGCATGAAAAGGGAATTCTGTTGCTTAACTCGGGTCGGAAGTGTCTCAGGTTAGCATTGCTGATCTACGATCACTGATCAGGTCCCTCTAAGTCAGGGGTGTCAAACTCATTTTAGCTCAGGGGCCACATGGAGGAAAATCTATTCCCAAGTGGGCCGGACCGGAAAAATCATGGTATATATAACTTAAAAACAACAACTTCAGATTGTTTTCTTTGTTTTAATACGATCAACATACAACATAAAGCTGGAGCCTGAGGACAGTGTGTCCAAAATAGTACAAGCACAACATCACTATTAATCATAAAACACGTCAAGTTTATTTGAAAATTCTAAAGAAAAAGAACACACAAACACACAATGCCTCAGTGATTAACAGAACTGTTTCACAGATCACAGAACTATATCAGGGTGTAATTTCTCAGGCAGAAATGTAGATAAAAATAATGAAATCCTGTTCCCCAAACAAGTGCAAGAACCACAGAGTCAAGAATAGGTTAAATATACAAATAAAATCAATTAAAAACAATAGCACATCAACATAAAAACATATAAACATAAAGCTGGAGCCTGAGGACAGTGTCCAAAAGCACAACATCACTATTAATCATAAAACACCTCAAGTTATTTGAAAGTTCTGAGGACAAAGAACACACAAACACACAATGCCTCAGTGATTCACAGAAGTATATCACAGATCACAGAACTATATCAGGGTGTCATTTCTCAGGCAGAAATGTAGATAAAAATAATGAAATCCTGTTCCCCAAACAAGTGCAAGAACCACAGAGTCAAGAATAGGTTAAATATACAAATAAAATAAAATCAATTAAAAACAATAGCACATCAACATAAAAACATATAAACATATAACATAAATCTGAAAGCGTTGCTCAAACTCCCATAACAGTCCCGTTATTTTATCTTTGAACCGCTTCATGTCTGCCACATGTTGGGTCGCGCACACATTTTTCAGACAGGGGAAGTGAGCTGCATCACCACCGGCAAGTTGCGTCTCCCACAATGACAGCTTCAACTTGAAAGAACGTATGCTGTCATATATAATACTGCGTGACAACTTTGTTGCGCTCTTGCAGCTGTTTGTTCAAGTTATTCAGGTGCTCTATAACATCCACCATAAATGCAAGGTCCTGCATCCATTCTGCGGAATGAAATTCTAACACTGGTTTGCCCTTTTCTTCCATGAACTGTTCAATTTCTTCTCGTAAATCAAAGAAACGCCTCAGCACAGCACCTCGGCTTAACCATCTTACCTCAGTGTGGTATGGCAGGCCATAGATGTGGTCTTTCTCTCTGAGAAGGCTGTCAAAC